AATTTTATTATTGTTAGCGCCATCTAGGGAAGGCCAGTCGAACTAACTAGTAACAACTAATCCCTTTCGCATAATTAAATTTCTCATAGCAATCAGTATTATCACAACATCTTTATAAGCTTTATCCTATTCCTATCATTGCCATCCCTTCTTATTCTACATTTTCTTCCACCATCATCATCAACAGCCTTTAGTAGTCCACTGCTTAACGTAGGCCTCTCCTTATAAAGAGGGTTTTGGCCTACTATACCACACTGGCCGGACGGGTTTGTATAGGGTGTATCAAGTTTTCCTTTTCTTTGCAGTGCTGTTGTTCGGCGGTTCGGATATTACGACACCCATGAGATGAATTGTGGTGGTGACACTTTGTATTCTTAATCCGTCACCACAAGAATAGATAGAATTTACTTCCAATTTATTCGCAATTTTTGCATCCAATCATATATCAGTCATGTTTACATATAAATTGGACGTAAAATGTATCTATACACTACAACAACTCTAATAAAATACTCTAAGCCACCATTTTAATACAGCTCTGCCTACCCATTCTGAGAAATAGGCATGACAGTATGTATGTAGATAAGAAACAACTTTTGATACAAGAAACCTTCACGGAACGATGTTTCTTTTTGTTTTATCTATAATCGCCAAGACTAAGCTAGTTATTCTGATTCCGACTTGAAAAACTTTGAATCTATTCCTTTATCTTAAAGGGTATGACTTCATCTTAAATCCGCTTTTATCCTAAACATTTTTGGGCTTTTTTATTGGGACTAATCCCACCCACATAAAGAAATAAAAAGATGCTACGACACTCACAGAATAAACACCATACAAAGACACCTTGAAAAATCTAGGTCCGCCAAAAAAGCATACAAGGAACTAAATAGATCAAAGAAATGGATTCCTTCACTTCGACCCGGCTCCAACAATTGTAAGTCCCGAAAAGAGATTATAGACATAGCCACAAACTACTATGCACGGCTCTATAGCAAGCCGGATGCAATAACACCACTAAACCTTAACACCGAAAACAGCAAGTTCACCCCGGTGCAAGAGTTCACAGAACCAGAAATCCTAAGGCAAATTATCAAGCTGAAGTCAGAAAAATGCCCGGGACCTGACGGACTTACAAACGAATGTATCAAACTGGCTAAGACTCTCCTTCTGTCACCTATCACATTACTATGGAACAAAATATTAAACGAGGAGGTCGTGCCAAGTCTGTGGACGGAATCTGAAATAATCCTACTCTATAAAAAAGGCGACCCAGCAGACATAGGAAACTATCGTCCCATAAGCCTCATGTCGTGTCTCTATAAATTATTTGCCGCCAGTATACTTGAAAGAATTTCACCAGATATTGATCTGCACCAACCGATCGAACAAGCTGGATTCAGAGGCGGTTTCAGCACAGTGGATCATATTCAGGTAGTCGACCAAGTTATAGAAAAATTCTTGGAATTTCGTAGACCATTATATGTAGCTTTTATTGACTACAAAAAAGCCTTTGACAGTATATCACATGAAAGTATTTGGGAAGCATTAAAAGATCAAGATATAAATCAAAAATATATAAACATCTTAAGAAATATTTATTACAATAGCTCAAGTAGAGTCAAGTTAGATAGAACAGGCACAAAAATCAAAATTGAGAAAGGAGTGAGACAAGGTGACCCAATTTCACCAAAACTGTTCATAGCGGTCTTGCAACATATAATGGCAGCTTTACCGTGGTCTAAACAAGGCATCAACGTAGACGGACAGTTTCTAAGCCACTTGAGATTCGCCGACGATATCATCCTTTTCGCAACTCATCCACAACAACTAAACATCATGATAAACGATTTACACGAAGCCAGTATCAATGTCGGTCTAGAAATGAACCTAGACAAAACGAAAGTTATGTCTAATCACATTATAACACCCATCTTGGTAAATAATATCCCTCTTGAATATGTAAGTAACTATATATATCTAGGAAAACAAATCTCATTCAGCAAAGAAAGAAATACTAAAGAAGTGGACAGAAGAATAGCGATCACCTGGAAAAAATACTGGAGTCACAAAGAAATTTTCAAATCGCAGCTGCCATTACCAACAAAAAAAATAGTCATGGATTCTGAAATACTGCCATGTCTAACATATGGCTGCCAAACTTGGATTCTTGATCGCAAAACCAGAAATAAAATCCGGACGACTCAAACAAGAATGGAGAGAAGTTACCTAGGTATAAAGTTGAGAGATAAAATCAGGAACACAGAAATACGCAAGAGGACGAAAATAACTGACGCTCTCTCCTTTTCGCTAGTCAGGAAATGGAAGTGGGCAGGGCACGTGGCCAGGTACACAGACGGCAGATGGACAAAGAGAGTGACGAAATGGTCTGGGCCAAGAGGCACTAGAAATAGAGGCAGACCTAGCGCGAGATGGGTGGACGAAGTCGTGGAGACGGCGGGTCGTGATTGGTTCACAGTAGCTCACAACAAAGAAAAATGGCATGCCTTGGAGGAGGCTTTTACCCACAGGGGGTCCGCACAAATCTCTTAAATAAATATTTATACTTTTCAAATTTTTTTTTACCTTGTAATTTGTACGGAATCAAATAAAGCTTTTTATTATTATTATTATTATTATAATCCCACCCACACGCCCACCACTGTAACTCCTGTACACCAGGATCCACAGCAGTGACCCACGAACACACCGAGTTATGACACTCGGGAAGTCCCAGGAAGAAATTAAACTGTCTTCTTAATACCTAATATATTCAACTTTTGTTAACAATAAAAGTAGTTTGCCGTGTGGTGACGGATTAACAATACAGAGTGTCACCACCCCCATTCATCCCGTTGGTGTCGTAAGAGGCGACAAAGGGAGCGAAATACGCAAGACAACAGCACTGCAGAGAGAAGGAAACTTGACACAAACCCTATACCAACCCCTCAAGCCAGCGTGGTATAGTAGGCCAAAACCTCCTTTCTAAGGAGAAGCCTATGTCCAGCAGTGGACTGTTAAAGGCTGTTGATGTGATTGATGTGATGATGAAAAGTAGTTAGCAGTCGGTATGTTAAAACATGTTTATTTAATTGTATAATGTGACAACGTATATAACATCTAAGTGCAACAGTGTAACCCACAACAGAATCTGCCTCTCAAAAAGACTTCTGAGTTACACATTTATCAAACACATAAACTCACGCCTCCGCTAAGGGCTAAGCAGAGATATATTAACCGCCTACATTTTGCTAACTATAATGTTAATCCCGCTGATGGAATTAGAAGGCAAACATAATAATAGCGACAACCGATCAAATTTTGGCCAACCCATCTGGCCAGCGTGGTATACTAGGCCAAAACCTCCTTTCTAAGGAGAGGCCTATGTCCAGCAGTGGACTATTGAAGGCTGTTGATATGGTGTAAAAGTAGATAAAATCTCTATCGCAAATATTTATTTATTTATTAAAAACAATTACAGTGTCTTATAATATGATGGAGAGTGCTGCGAGGACTAATACCAACGGCAACTTTTACGCCGTACATGGCAAAATTTTCATCCTCATCACCTGGATAGTTGGTGGTCCACTACTGTGCGCTTTTCGAGACACTTTTTGCCCCGCACAACCATCTGTGGAACGGGTTTTCGTCTGCAGTATTTCCGGACCGATACGACCTCCAAACCTTCAAGAAAAAGCGTACTCCTTCCTAAAAGGCCGGCAACGCGTTTCTGACTAATGAGTTGCAGACGTTCACGGGCGGCGGTGGTCACTTTCCATCAGGTGACCCGTCTGCTCGTCGACCCCCTCTAACATAAAAAAAATGGGTAAAAGTAGGTAAAAGGCTAGCATTACCTTCTACCCACTTTTACCCCTTATTTTTTTGGCAGTATCACTTTCACAGATCTTTAATAAACTTATAATTCAATACACTCACGGAGTCAACAATATTTTATCATTACATCTAAGTTTAAATCCATCTGGTGAGGGATTTAGAATACGGAGTGTCACCACCTATTCATCCCATGGGCCAACTAAGGGAGCAAACTACACAGGGTAACAGCACTGCAAAAAGAAGGAAAGCTTGACACAAACCTTATAAAAACCCGTCTGTCAGCATGGTATAGTATGCCAACACATCCTTTTTAAGGAGAAGCCTTTGTCCAGCAATGTACTATTAAAGGCTGTTGATATTCATCTAAGTTTAGTAACATCGGTATTTGCGATAATCATTGCTTCCTAAAAGACATAAAATACATTTATCCGTAATCTGCAACTCTCAGCACTCGAAAACAGTATCATTTTTAACTAAAACTGTATTCATTACAAATAAAATTTAAAAGATTCAAAGCATCATGTTACACATGTTCTCAAACCGCATCTAAGATATTAAATTTCCTTGAAGATAAGTGCATGAAGGCAGGAAATTAAGAACTGTCGAAGCGTATTTAGTTTTGAACAACAAATGAGTTTTGCGCGAAAGCTTGGAAAGTAGTGCTGGTAGATAACTGATGAATTTGTAGTAGAGGAACTGTTACAAATACGTACACTCAAGCTTATATTTCCTAAAAATGCCATTTTAGAACACCCAATTTAATTAATTAAATTAATTTTCGACTTTAATTTTAATTCCGCACACTCAATGGTGGGCAAGATGATAGGAAAATTGGATATTGAAAATGAGGGAAAGACAGTTGTAGAAAAATAATATAGATTATATGGATGTTGCAGAACTCAAACTGGTTGTTATTAATGAACGTTGAAATTATCATAAACTTAGAAATAAAGATTTTTTATAAAACAAAGAGTTTGGGTTTGAATTCCCCTAATTTTGGGGGGAAGGGTTCATGGGCGGCAACGCATTTGTGTCCTTTACCATTAGGTGACCCGTCTGTTCATACCATAAAAAAGCAAATTACAAATTCAATTCTGCAACATTTATTTAATATCAAATTAATTTATTAAATAACAAATACAGATGAATGCTGTGAATAAAGCACATTAGAGCACAACTTTCACTAATTTAACAGGTTTATGTATACCACTTGTTCTATAGAGTTTCGCACACATGGAACTGTGATTGTTGTGTGTGAGTACATAAATAGCATATTTGTCTGAATAAACTAATTGATTGAATTCTTTTTTCGGCGATAAATAAAAATGATCCATAAATGTAATACTAAAAAGCTGATCAATATTTGCTATTCTTTTAATACTTTTGTTATTCAAATCTTCTACATAAATACCATCGCTTGCGCAGAAATATACAAAGCCGTATAAGTCTTCGGTGATTTGTCTGATTTCGATTTCCTTAGCCAATATGTAAGGTTTCTTTTCTCTTTTATTAATCTTGGCTTTGAATAATCCAGTTTTATTGGAGAAGTACACTACGAAATTTCTGGTGATGAAAAAATTATCAATTTCTATTCCTATTGTTTCAGGTACTTTTCTAAATGTCTTCTTCTTGTAAACGTAAAGTTGTTGTGATGGATGCTGTATATAGTAAAAGTTTCTTCTGATGAATATACCCCAAACTGACTTACCTCTTTCAGCAAAATATCTCACTTGGTGCGTTTCAATATTATATCTATACAGACCTTGATGACCTCCCATGTAAAATTCATCATGAAGTCTATCATACCCAATAGCGTATCCTCCAGGAACTCCGTCAATGCTTCTGCAGATTTCTTTTTTAACGTTACAAGTCATTATCTGGAAGTTGATTTCTCGGCCGCGCTGGATTGTGTGACTAAAAAGCAGCTCTCCCGTAAATCTGTTCATTGAAACGATATCATTATTGCATGCTTAAATATGATCCAATTCCAATTGTGACTTCTGAGTTGCAGGTGTCCTTTGGCAGCGGTAGTTGCTTACCATCAGGTGATCCGTCTGCTCGTTTGCCCCCTTATACCATAAAAAAATGTTTATCGGCAGTCTGGTTAGCATAGCACAGGTTCTGCCTAGTTTTGGATCAGAGGGCCTTGTAGGAGATGTGTGAGATATTATTATATTTACTTCTATTCTCACTTCTTGTTTATTCCGCACTATAGACCATGTTAAGAACCAACCAAAAGATACTAACCTGTCAAAGAACAAGTTGTAAGGTTTCTCATGGCTCTCAAACAGAATGTGTTTATCATAATAAACGTCCCGAAAGAAGAGACCGTCACATTCGATTACTGATTGCGTGTCATGCTCAGGAGTTGCACTCGATAATAGAAGTAGGAAGGTCCAAATATACGTGAAGGGAGGCATGTGGTTGCTGTGAATAAAAAATCTTATTTTAAAAAGACAACTCCCACATTAGGTAAATATCATGTGTCGCGAGGGACTTTACAAACATACATGTAACGAACAGAAAGAACATTAATTAAAATAATAAAAAATAATGTGATCATCAGCATTTTGTTTTCCACTCGATGGTCAGATTTCCTCATCCAGTTTATCCTCACAGTTTTGCACAGATAGTCACACTATTTTACCGCTGGGTGTCATAAACTCAGACTCAAAATCAAAATTTCTTTATTTCATAAAATTGTCTTTGAAACACACAATAGCAGCAATCTCTGTTTTGTCAAATATATTGTACTGTGTAAACTAGTGTGTTTTCCTAGCAGCGGTACCCACTCCATGACACTTCGACCCCAGCGGTTTTGCTTGCAATGTGGTCAATTCAATTTTAATAATTACACTTAGTAACTAAAGCACATATAAGCAGATTAACTTAAAAGTTTATATTTTTAAAGTTATATATTGGTATCATTATTATGGTATGGTACTATTCCAGATTTCTCCCCCTCCACCAACACAGAAATAAGTAAAAAATATACCTCAGCCTTCAATAATATCACACTAAAACACTAGCAAAAATCCTAAGACAATTTTTATTTAAAACACACAGCTACCTTTCACACTGAAGCTAAAACAAAACAATTATAAAGAAGTTTTGTGACACAGAAGTCATGTTAGCATTAAATGTATTGTATTGATTTGTTTAATTTCTCATCATTATTTCATTCAGATTAGATGAACAGAATCATCAGAAAAGCATGTCAATATTTTTGTATACAGTCTGTGTAGCTCTTTGTGCATGTTAATTGGAGTGAGAATCATTCTTTAGAATAATAACACTTTTGTTAGCGACAATTGTTGACTATTATCACGTTTCAGAACAAACATGGGTTACAAAGAATGAAAAGTATATCCTAACCTAAAATAATATCCATGTGAAGACGTATTAAGAATATGGAGTCTCACTACCCTTGTTCATCCGATGGGTGTCATAAGAGTCGAACAACGGAACAACAAACTACGAAGGAAAACTACAGCAAAGAGAAGGAAAACTTGACATAAACCCTATACCAACCCGTCTGGCAAGCGTAGTATAGATGGCCAAAACCTCCGCTCTAAGGAGAGGCCCATGTCCAGCAATAGACTATGGATGCTGATGATGAACCTAAAATAGTAATCATCTTATAAATGCTTAAATTATTTCTGAATTCTAATAAATGAGATCAAAAATTAGTCCTAAAATAAATTTATTCTTTTTCAAAGTATATGTCCTCAGATCTTATACATTTTTGAATTCACTGGATTCCTTGTAAATAGCAGTTGGAAAAATCTCGCTTAGGGACTGATTCATTGGCCTATGGAATATTTACCGCTGATTCAGGGTTTGCAACCGTATTGAAATGTGATCACTCATTATCATGGTCAAGAGCGAGATGGCTTCGAGGATATTCTTTACCGATTTTTTTCTAAACCTCGAGCATTTCTATTAGTTTTTGTTTATAATCGTTGTTGCGCTTCGTTTTTGTACCTATGGTGGTTGTACCTGTGGTTTACAAGTTTGTTTTTTTCTTTTTTTTTAAAGACAACGCCCGCATTAGGAATGTACATTCCTGTGTCGCGGGGGACTTTACAAACATACATGAAACCGACACAAAGAACACCCAGACTCAGAACAACAATTTGTGGATCACACAAAGTGTCGTCTCATGTGGGGTTTGAACCCACAACACTCGGCGCAATAGGAAGCTGCGTGGCGACTACTTAAACCACTACGCCATCCGTGCAGTCAAGTTATTTTCAGGAGAGCAATGTATTATTATTGGGAAACTGTATTTGTTTGATGTTTGTGGATTGTCGTGAAGTGTTGCAAATAACGTATATTAAGGGCAAAAAAAATTGGAGAGAGAGGTTCCGTACCTCAAAAGGTAAAAAAGGAACCCTTATAAGATCACTTTCTTGTCTTCACGTTCTTGTGATGATTTTCTCAGGAACGGGTAGACCTAGCAAGTTGAAATTCATACGAAATACTGCGGTCTATAGTATCTATTAGGTGTATAAAAATCAAGGTCCTGAGTCAACACGATAAAAATATATGGGCAAACTTAGATTTTCGCAAAAACTTGTAAGTACCAAAATTTCCCTTAATTTCAATTATTTTTTCAGAATTTTATCTTTATTTGTGCTGTAAGACCTTGCTTTTAACCAAAATTGACAATTCTAGGTCAACCGGAAGTACCCTATAGGTTTTGGGTCGAAAACCTATATGGTAGTTCCCGTTGACCTAGAATCACGAAATTTGGCGAAAAGAAACGTCTTACAACACAAATAAAGAAATAATTCCAAAAATAAAAAAGTTGAAAGTTAGGATAAATTTTGGTACTTACAAATTTTCATGAAAATCTACGTAAGATCTGGTTAGGTACGGAACCCTCGGCGCACGAGTTCGACTCGTACCTGACCGGTTTTTTTTAAGCGAAGGCTCAGGCAAAAGTTAGTGGGATAGTATTAAGTATAGCATGTACTACTCTGGATTGAAATGATATTAAAATCGATCATGGAGAAAGAAACGACATCGACTACCTATTTCTTCAACTAAGAACCATAGAGATAAACAGATAGGGGCAGAAGGTATTGGATTGCCTGTAAGTGGGATAGCGTAGACCTTGCACCTACCGACTATTACTTTTTCCAAAATTTAGACAACTTTTTAGTAGGTAAAAAATTAAATTCCCGAGAGGCAGTACAAAATGCCTTTGAAGAGTTTGTTGCCTCCCGTCCAGCTGATTTTTACAAGAAGGGCATCAATAAACTGCCAATGCGTTGGCAAAGATGCGTCGATTGCATGGGTGATTACTTCGCATAACAGAAATAAAAAAGTTTGAAAAAATAAGTACTTTCACTTATTGCATACAAAACGGCAATTTCATAGGTAAAGACCTATTATATCGATTTTATTTACAGCCTGGCAAAAGTTTTAAATAAGGATATTTCAGATTGACTCTGAAAGAATTATATCATACCCATAACCCATTAGTTGAGAATAAAAATATATTTGAGTACTCTTGCCCTTCGTACACTTACAGAATGGCGTAAGTGCCTTTTGTTTTGTTTTAGAACTTTGCCACTTATCATAATATCAATTCAAAAATGAATGAAATAAAAAGAGTTGTTTATTATTCAGTCGTACGTTTTTATTACAATGGGATGTTTTTATACATTGTTTAGTTTGTAATACACAATTTAAAATGATTTAAGTGTTATAAATATCATAACTATGGGCTAAACAGTTGTTAGCTCAGGGAGAGAAACCTTTATTTTTTTATAGGTCCATCGGTGTCCAATCCAAAATTAAACTCAATATTTACTTTAATAAACAATATATTACGTGATCATACAAAATGCATCTGTCCCTTTTCAGCCCTCCCCTCGGTAAGCACCTGAACATAATCCTCTAGTGACCAGAGTTCAATGAAATTATATGATACCTGGATATGTGTTCACCTGGATTGTAAAATGCTGCAAATAAATTATCATTATTATTAGTTACTAGTACTTCTGCGTCATCGCATCTTTCTTACGTGGCTTTGATGGTAGAATTCATACAGATTTTTGCCCTTGCACTCGGTAATAATATGTATATATTATTTTTATCTGAATATATAACTTCATAATTCTTTCTTCTAGTTTTCTCCGAATTACCAGCCTTGTGAAAAGTCATTCCAAACATATCGTTTATATTAGCTACTTTCCTGAGTTTTCGACGCCGTTTCTCTGCCATATATATTCCATCGCTGGTACAAAAATATATGTCGCCGTAAACATCGTACGTTATTTGTCTCACATTAATGCCAAGTCTCAAAACGAATGGTTTCAGACGTGGCTTTTGAACTTTGTACAAGCCAGTTTTGTTTGAAAAGTAAATCGCAAACTGCTGGGTGACAAAAAAATTGTCAATCTCCATTTTACTGGCTTCAGGTACCATTGTAAATTTTTTACGTTTATAAACATACAGTTTCTGCGATGGATATCGTATGTAGTAAAAGTTTCTTCGAGCAAACAAACCCCAAATAGATTTGCCTTTTTCAGCAAAGTATTTCACAGAATTTGTGAGAAAATTGTAAACGTAGATACCGTCGTGGCCACCAAAGAATATGTAGTTATTGCCACGGTCCCAGGTAATGGCATAGCCCCCTGCAACTCCCGGAACATCCCTGCACATCTTCCTTTCAATGTGACAAATCATAATCCCGAAATCAACGTGAGAGCCATTTTGAATTGTGTGGCTAAAAAAGAGGTTTCCAGAAGGCCTGTTGAAAAAAAATATTATGTTTTTTATTGTACCTGCCTTCATGGTCTATTTAATCTATGAAATCCAAATCCAATTATACGATCCAATCCATAGCAATGTTTTTGTAATTAGTTATAAAACTTGACGTGTTCAAATAAAAAAAAAACACGTAATTATTTCAGTGTAGTTTGTACAATTAAAAATATTAGAAAAGAAAAGGCCCAGATTAGCACCCTGTGCTATTCTCATGAGCATACCTCAGGGTTCTATTCTTGGTCCAAAGAAATCAGATTATCTGAATGCGTTAAAAAATAATTATTTTTATCTACTGTTTTTAACCGACTTCAAAAAAAAGAAGGTTCTCAATTCCTCGGAATCTTTTTTTCCCTAAACAACTAGATCTTAATATTTGGTATGGGCAAATATGCAGGCAAAAACAAATCTCACTTATGCATTACTAAGTTGTTGGGTCTTCCAAGGCCTTCGAATAGTGTATGTTTGTCATAGTACTCGTTTCGGAATATTAAGCCATCGCATGGAGCAGGTTCTGTTGTTTTCAATTTCACCAAAATTTGTACAACCAGGAAGTACTTGATCATCTGTATGCTGTAAGGTCAAATAACGTTAATCAATTTAGTAAAAATTATTTAAATTTATAATGTTTATTATGTTATATTCACGAAAATATATTAAATACGTATTTCAAAATAAGCGGCGGTAGCTTAGTGGTTAAGGCATTGGACTTGCGATGCTGACCAGTACATTACCAACGTGAACCCACTCCTTTTTTTTTTTCTTTTTTTTTTTTTTTACGTGTGGAAATCCCCTCGGACCGTCACCCCGCCGGGGCTCTCGTTCGGCGGGGCGGTGTGTCGGACTCGAACCGACTAAAACCACACGGTGTGCCCTCTTTGCGCTTCCAGTTTAGGAGGGGTCCAGGTAGCTATCTCCTTCTGGACCCCTCCCAGCGCCGGCCCGCTCCTGGCGCGGGCTCCGTCTCAGTGGACCCTCTCTTAAGGCGGCGTCCGGCACACGCGGACGCCGCCCCCTCGCGGCTGGCCAATTAATGCGGGTGGAGGGGAGAACCCATCCCGTCCACCCGCGGCCACACTCAGGGCGGCATGAGGCGCAGGTGAGCGCGCCTCCGCCGCCCGGTTCGCCGGCGGCGGATCAGGTCCGAGTGGAGGTCGTCCTCCCGGGCCTTCTCCGCCGCCTCCTTCTGCGAGATTACCTCCTCGCAGAAGGTTGCGACCGCGGTAAAACAACTGTCGCTACCGGCCATGGAGCGAATTACGGCCGGTAGCGAGAGATCTGCTCCGATGACTGCAGTGAGGGCCCGGCGCTGCGTCGCCCATGCGGGGCAAACCGCCAGCGTGTGCTGGGCCGAATCCTCACCGCAGTCGCAGTGGTGGCAGGCGGGACTCGATTCCCTCCTAGCGACCGAGTACAGGTACTTTCCGAAGCAACCGTGCCCGGAAAGCACCTGCGTCAGCCGGAAGGAAAGGGTCCCGTGCTGCCGCCCTGCCCACTCGGCGATGACCGGCTGGAGAGCCTCCACGGCGGCGAAGCCAGCGCGTGGAGTCTCCAGCCGGAACGACCATCTCACCATAGTGGCTCGGCGAGCGGCTTCGCGCCACTCGCGCACGTCTTCGGGCGGAGGGCGAAATCCGCTCTCCGCCCGGAAGTCAGCCACTCGCCGATAAACTTCGGCGAGCACTTCCGCCTCCAAATCCCACGGGGGTGTTCCGGCCAAGGCGCAAGCCGCCTCGGTGGACACCGTGCGGTATCCGCGTATGGCTCTGACCGCCAATATCCTCTGGGGGCGCCAGAGGCGCGCCCTATTCGGGGCGGTCAGAGCCGCCACCCACACCGGTGCACCATACAGCGCCATGGACCGGACAACCCCCGCGTACAGCCGCCTCGTGGGAACACTGGCCCCGCCCAAATTGGGCAAAAGTCGCCCTAGGGCGGAGGCAGTGTTCACCAGCTTCGGACCAAGCTGTCGGAAGTGCTCGTCGAAGAGCCACCTACCGTCTAGGACCAGACCCAGGTACCTCATCTGGGCCCGGACCGGTACGAGGACCGAGCCGACCTCGATTGAGGCGCCGGCGGGCGGACCACGACGGGGCCCATGAAATAATAGGGCCTCCGTCTTATCCAGGGCCACCCGCAAACCCAACGCCTCAATGCGCCCGACCACCAGGGAAACTCCCGTGGCGGCCAGGCGCGCCGCCTCCTGGAAGTTAGCCCCCCGGGCCGTGACTAAAGTGTCATCTGCGTAGCAGAGTACACCCAGCCCGGGGGGGAGACGCCCTCGTAGGGCCCAGTCGTATCCGATGTTCCACAGGAGTGGTCCTAGGACAGACCCCTGCGGAACACCGCACGACATGGCCCTGCGTCTCAAGACGCCATCTCGGTCCTCGTACATGACGGTTCGCTCCTCAAGATAGTCTGCCACCAGCCGCCTCAGGTACTCCGGCACTCCGTGGTAGCGGAGCGCTTCCCTGATGCAGCTGAATGGCAGACTATTAAAGGCGTTGGCGATGTCCAAAGACACCGCCAACACCACTCCGCCGCAGCTCACAGCCTCCTCGGTCACGGCCCTAAGGCGCATTACGGCATTGATCGTCGAACGCCCCTCTCGGAAAACGTGAACCCACTCCTAACACAAGCAATTTAGGTTAGCTTGAGGGGTAACGGGAATATTAGTATTTTCGGTTACTAGTAAGCCTTTTAAGAAACAAAATTGAACATATTTATTTTAACCACGGTTTTTCTAAGGTTTTTATTTCATGAATGACCGGCTTGTCCCGAACTCGATGAAGGCCCTTTTCAAGGAGTTAAACATTCTGTTACGGGTGACGCGTCATAATGTCGGGTCCAAAACTAAATACAACCGTTGCCGTGTAGTAACGGATTAGGAATACGGAGTATCACCACCCCAGTGCCATTGTGTTGTGTATTTGTCCCGTGAATGTCATAAGAACCGCCTGAAGGAGTAAACTACGCAAGACAACAGCACTGCAAAGAAAAGGAAAACTATACCAACCTGTTTTGCTAGCGTGGTAGCGTAGGCCAAAACTTCCTTTTAAAGTAGAGGCCTATGTCCAACAGTGGACTATTAAAGGCTGATGTTGTTGATTGATGAAACACAACCGTGAGTAAAACCTAACGCTAACTGGTACAAGCGAATGTTTTCATTCTAGCATGGAATTAAATTGAGTTGTCATATTTACGATATGAATACATGGTCCACGCCAGCCAACCAATCACGGAATAACAGACTTCAGAGTATAAAATGATTTTTCTAAATTTAAAATTTCAATCAACAAAAAGGCAAAACGAACGCAGTACCAGGGTAAAAATTGTGAATTAACAATAGCATTAGAGGCTAAAACAGGATGAACTATATAACACAGTTATAAATATTACAGTTTATCATAATGGAAAAACAGCGCAAAATCTTGAAGAACAGTAAGTTTGTGTCCGAGAGTCAAATAGGGAGAAGGAACAACCGTCCAACAGCTTTCAAATGAAGTCGTACATTCAAATCCTGTCTACAGAACTCAATGCATAGCATGATGAAAAGGTACAAGGAAACTGCTTTTGTTCAACTATTCCGTCTTGTTACACTGAATATGCCTCAAGCACATTTATCACGTCTTTTTTTTCTTATTGACTCTGATATCTACTTCAAGCGTGTTTTTTTTTCTTTCTCACATCTTGATTTAAAATATTTAATTAATAAAAGTAATCATTACCTTTCTTGTAAAATAAAAATGAGTAACCACACAAAACCAGACTCCGTGTTATTTTAGTTTCTAAAACTGTTTGAGCCAACCACAATATAGGTTAAACAAAACTCTATTGTCTAGTATATACAATACATACATACAATGTGTGTGTGTGTGTGTAGCTGAGTGTGTTTTAGACCTGAGGAGGTGGTGGCATGAAATTGTTTTTGTAATTAATGATTCATCTATCATCTTACCCTTTTCCCATATTTATTTGGGGTCGATGCAGGGCGTTTTCTTCTTCCATTCTCTTTGATCAGTCGATATCATTATTCTCGCACTCCTTCATTTCATTGCGAAATGGTTTTGCAACCCTCTTTGGGAATGTAATCATATATATTTGCATCAACCATCTCTTATATTATACTTATAACTTGCCCGCTGGTCGAACTGATGGCGATGACAGGTAAGTAAACATATAAATTATATACCTACTAAACTATTATAGTAAAAATAATATTACTATATATTCTGGAGCACTACTAATATTTAAAATAAAATTAGCCTTTTCCTCTTTGCGATTTAAATTTCATGTTCCTACGTTCGCATAATTTTATTTTAAAATGTATAGAAATAGTTTTCTTCGCTTATTTATTTATTCAAAATATGTTCTCTTGCGATTCATGAATCATACCATATGTTATTGGGTTCCCCCTATCTGGCAGAATCTTGATGCTCTTAAATTTATTTCGTATAAGACACTTGGCAGAATCTTCTTCAAACGAATATTTTTAAGGCATAAAAGGTTTTTAGTATAATTATTATTCGGCCGAATGTTTATATGTCCGAATTTACAATGGCATACTTTTAAGGATGGCATAATTTTATTTAGCATAATTACCTTTGGCAGAGTTCAAATTTCGCATGATTTTGTTTAGCATAACGTTTATTTAGAGCGACGATAATTTTGTATAAAATCCTTTTTTAATAATTTTATTACACGTGACAGATATGCTGTATGCTGCATTATTGCTTCCATGCTGCTTGTTGACTTTATTATGGTATGAAATACAAAATGACGGATAGATAGTCTTTCAATTATTATAGATATGAATAGTGTGCAAAAGATGATTCTCACTGTAAACTGCCTGAGATATGATAGTTCTGCCTTTTAACGACTATCGATATTAAATTAATGCTCAAAGACGATTGTGACTATGAACTATGACTATGGACTATGACTTTCGGCGATATGATGGTTCTACTTTTTAATTATAATGGATATGAAGTTTATGCCTAAAGATGATTATGACTTACAAAATTATGCGTTTTGAATGTATGATAAATAAGTGTTTACCAAACGATTTTCTGCGAAATGGAGTTTATGTTATCCGTTGTTTTGCAAAATAATATTATGACATATAAAGTTCTGCTATAAAGGGTTGTTGTACTACATATTTAAATACTATAAATCAGGCTGCTCTGAATATGAAATAAAATTATGCCACCACCTCCTAAATTGGTCACTTGAACTTCAAAATCCATTATAAATTTCAAGTTGATTTGACTTCACCGATGGCATAGTTGTTTAAGCGGTTACTTAGCCTCTTCCTGCTGCGTTGACTGTTGTATGTTCGATGTGTGGTTCATAAATTGTTGTTCTGAGTCTGGATGTTCTTTGTGTCCATTTCATGTATGTTTCTAAACTCCCCCTCGACACAAGATATATTTCTAATGCGGGAGTTGGCTTTTTTGAAAAGAAAGAAAAAAGAAGAACTATTGACATTTTAACAGCTTTAATTTCTATATTTTGAAGTGATTGCCGAAACGGAATTCCTCAATTTCTCTAGGATTCCATCATCAGATTCTGATTTCTTGACAATAGGACCACTTCGAAAATATAAGAATTTGTAAATCGGCAAAAATTCATGGGGGAAAACGTAATAAACACAAATAAAAAACAGTCGAATTGAAAACCACCGCCTTTTTTGAGGTCGATTAAAAAAGTTCTACTTTCAAGTGATAGGTTCAGTGCTCCAGACTACTACCAGGTAGATGCCCTTGTGTGGCTGACTACACCTACAATTCAAAAGACGCAAGTAGACCGTTTGCGTGCTGTCCCTCTCAGAATTACGGGGCCGGCTGGTTGGCGCTTCCTACAACGTCAGTCTTCCGTAAAAAGCAACGAACTCATTAAAAAGTGCTAAAAAATCGATATGGCGCTATTCAAGTGATCGTAAATCGAATCGGGATTTTGATCAGTAATCACAAAATTGTTTAGACGATTTGTCCATGATGATGATATATTGTTATTGTTCTGAATTGTATTGTCCATGTGTGATTAGAAATACAAAATAGACGCTGACTTGTATAACTAGAATTTATGAATATAAATTCAATCACGTGAAGTGAGTTAGGTTCATCATCATCATCAACAGCCTATACTAGTCCACTCCTTTCTAAGGAGAGGCCTATCTCCTTAGAAAGGAGGTTTTGGCCTACTATACCACGCTGGCCAGACGGGTTGGTATAGGGTTTGTTTCAAGTTTTCCTTCTCTTTGCAGTGCTGTTGTCCTGCTTAGTTTGCTCCCTTAGTCGGCTCTTACGACACTCACGGGATGAATTAGGGTGGTGACAATTTGTATTCTTAATCCGTCACCACACGAACGGAGTTAGGTTGCCGGAGTACAACACACAATTGGTTGCCTGGAAGAGATCGCAAATCGCGATAAGGCCGCCAACTGTACAACTTTCGATATTTTACTCTCTATTGTTATTTTTATATAACTTTAGATTACAGAACACACCAATATATACAAACTGTATTTTCACATGTTTTTATTGTACAACTAGCTAGTACCTGCGACTTCGTTCGCTTGGAATTTGAAAAGCGCTGCCTTAGTGGGTTCGATGACAAGTTTGGACAAAATTTTAAATGGTTTTTCTGAGAGGAAAAATAGCCTAAGTTATTCCTTATGTAGACTGCTACCTAGTAGTAAAATATTATCGAAATCGGTCCAACCGTTTACACACAGACAGATAGACAGACAGTTCATTTTGTTTTAACTGTTTTTTTAGGCATAGATATCGTGCAAATAACCGTGTGAGCATGAAAAAAACCTATAATTTTGACATTACAAACAGACACTTCAATTTTTTTTATTTGTATAGATAAAGAGTTATCTATCTATAAACTTCCCCCTAGTTCTAGAGGGCTACTCGAAGTTCAGCACTTGTGACACATCTGAGTTACCACCACGTGGCCATCTGCTCCTGATAGATTGATTTTGCAAAGCAAATGGTGGCTTGCACACAGTAGTGGAGTGTCAATTATTCAAGTTATGGGGAAATTAGAATTAAGTCACTTTGAGCGGTGGTGGAAGGCTGCGACCGGTATAAATCCGAACAATTCGCATAATACAAGCAATAAAAAATGTCTATTATATGTGTAGTGTACTTTTCCACACAACACACTGGGATCAAAACGATGTGGAACAGTAGGTACTTTTTATCTACTTTATTCCTATCTTATCGTTTTTCTTACAACAATTTACCTACTATCACATCACACACATCACATCAACAGCCTTTATTAGTCCACTGCTGGACATAGGCCTCTCCTCACAAAGGAGGCTTTGGCCTACTATACCACGCTGGCCAGACGGGTTAGTATAGGGTTTGTGTCAAGTTTTCCTTCTCTTTGCAGTGCTGGTGTCATGCGTTGTTTTGCGCCCTTAGTCGGCTCTTACGACACCCACGGGATGAATTGGGGTACTTACTATCATTATTGAAAAAGGTTACATTCTCAAGGACTCCAAATGAAATCTTGATAGCGTCTGGAAGATAATGTGGAAAGATGATAAATCTGATTGGGATTGAATTGCTCTAACCAACAACTTTACCAACCAACAACTTTGTAAACGACGTCGCCGGTGAAGGTTCTATCGACCCGACCGTGTTTTACGGAATCTTCATTACCCATCAGTTTTTCTTATAGGAGTCTTTTCTGGTGGGTCGTGTTACGAACCTGGCAGACTGATTTTTGTTGGGTCTTGCAATAGAGATATAAATGTGTATATGTGACTCTCATGACCATTAGGTCATCAGGGTAATCTCATTTTTTACACCACATAGGACGACACTTTGCGTGATCCACAAATTGTTGTTCTGAGTCTGGGTGTTCTTTGTGTCCGTTTCATGTATGTTTGTAAAGTCCCCCGCGACACAGGATATTTTCCTAATGCGGGCGTTGTCCTTCAAAAAAAATAAAAAAAATATACTACTGACTTTTGAAGTGCACTTTGACAAGGCGTCTTCAGTAAAACATATTTGAGTTTCAGGTATTACATTCTTTAAATTTCGTGGCGCTCTTTTTATGGCATAGGTAGTAAACCAGTCGATAGGTCACCTGATGGTATATGACGCCCATGGATACCCGAACTAAATCCGTGTCTTCTTTTACTGTATGTCTTCTACTTCTCAAGTCGGTTCGCCATTCTTTTTATCTCTTTTCATCTATTCATTAAATTATTTTAGATACTTACGGGACACACGCATTATAGTGAGATTATTTATTTATCTTTTGACATTTAAAATTATCCATACATTTGCCCGTGGGAGAGCCATGCTTCGGCACTAATGGGCCGGCTCGACCGGAGTGATACCACAGCCTCACAGAAAACCGGTGGTAAGCAATTCTTTCGTTGCCTTTCATTGAGTGAGTGAGGTTACCGGTGCTCAAATCGGGGGGATTTGAGCACCGGTAACCTCACTCACTCACCGCTGACTCGGGACCGCAAGGGCAGCAACGCACATGTGACTATTGAGTTGCAGGTGTCCATGGGCGGCGGTAGTTGCTTACCATCAGGTGACCCGTCTGCTCGTTTGCCCCTTATACCATGACACAAGTCGTTTTGTTTTGCTACTGTAATTCTCTCATCTATCAGACAAGAGCTTTCGCACTAACTGTGTTCTGCTCTTATCTCGGTTGTCTAGTGTGCTGTTTTTTTTTTATTATGATAATTACTTTATATTTACTGACGTTTGAAAGTGTACTGTAATAAGACCTACTCAATAAAAATTACGAGTTTGAGATGAGTCCCATTTGTAGTAACTTCTATTGTAGTTGTGTTTGAGTGCGAATTCTACTTCAATAATGATTAAGAAATAGTCCACGATGGGAATAAGCATATTATGCTTTCAAGTGTTTTAAGGTTACTGTACCTAAAAAGTCAAGAAACAGAGACATGTGAATAAAACAATATTGTTCAAAAATTGTTGTTTATTTATTCGTTTTAACCCTTAATAAAAGTACATTATTAAGATTACTGATTTCTTTTTGCATTTTTATTGACTTCTATTTATTGATGACATCTTAAATACATTACTTATCATGAACTAATGGACTGGAGGAAAAAAACTCAAGTTCGTTAGGGTTCAGTCTATTCTAATCATCAAGCAATAGACAATACCTAATAAATTTACTATTCTACTTAATAAATTTTCTATTTAAGTTATTGTAAATTATGAGTTTTCTATTATCAGTTATAACTAAATAGACCAGCTAAAAAGGCCTAATGTAATCACTAAATTCGCATAAGTGTTCTAAATTTAAATTCAACTCAAAGTTTAAAAGTCCTTTAGCAAAACAATCTGAAGACAGACGAAACAAGTTCGATCAAAGAATCTGATACCTCCAGATTCCATATACATTGGACAAGTTAAAGTTTTATTTTTAAACTACGATTACTAATGGTCGTAATTGTTACTTATATTCAAATAACTTAAGAAACTAGTTATTTTAAATTGTGTCAAATTTAACTGGTGATTAATTTAATTTTGCTCCATCTAGCGAATAGAAAGTGAACTACTCTACTCTACTCTACTTGCTGAGCTATGAATTTGACTGAGCCTATATCTCGCAATGCAAGTTTTACTACGCATTCACGTTTTTATTTAACAAAATATCATGACCCACGACAGTTTAACAATGTTATGGATTCTTGGTAGTACTTCTCGTGGTATTACTGTTCTTTTGGGCTTTAGTAATAGCTTTATAACACATATCTTTATGTTCACTTGGCAGTAATATATAAATAGAAGTTGCATCTGAATATATTAATTGATTTGTTTCCCCACGATTAGTAACAATCCTTACAAATGTAATACCATAAGGTTGGTGTATGTCAGCTACCTTCATAATCATTTCTGAGCGTCTATCTTCTATATATATACCGTCATTAGCACAAAAATACAAATCGCCATAAATGTCTTGGGTAATTTGACTAACAATAATTTTTTTACTTAAAACTTTTGGTGGTTTAGACGGTTTTTCCAGTTTGTATACACCAGTTTTATTTGTATAATAAATTTCAAAGCGTCTAGTAACAAAAAAGTTATCAATCTCTATTCCAATAGCTTCTTTAACCTGCTTAAATTTACCAGCGTTGTATATATAGAGCTGCTGGGATGGATATTCTATGTAATAAAAATTTCTTCGGATAAATAATCCCCATATTGATCTGCCTTTAGCACCAAAGAATTTTAGCTTGTTCTTTCGCACATTGTAATTATAAATGCCATTGTGACCTCCAAAATAGACTGCTTTGTTACCACGGTCGTATGCTATGGCATGGCCTCCAGGGACGCCATCGATATTTATACAATTTCGTGTCTCAACATGGCATGACATGATCCCGAAGTCAATTTTTGTACCGTTTTGGATTGTATGACTGAAGAACAGATTCCCAGTGTACCTGTTGATGTAAATTTTATTTAGTTCTCTTAAGTGTAAGTGGCATTGCCATTGCCGGCATTTTAGGAAGGAGTACGCTCTTTTCGTGCAGGTTTGAAGGTCGTATCGATCCGAAAACACCGCGTTCTTCCTCTATTGGTTATCTATCGGTGTGCCGGAAGTAACTTAGGTAGCTTCATTGAATTAGGCACCTATCATAGTGCTAGTAGCCTCTACCTACATAAATTAAAAATAATAACACAAACGCACAACACATCATCATAAAATTCTTCCACATCATCGTCTACCTACTTACCAGATGACCGTCAACTCTGACAATGCTAATTATATTTTCGTTAATAAGCCCATCAATAACAACTAGTTCTTTGTAAAAGGCCTCGGACTCCATAACCTTCAAACTTTTCTACCTTAAATGCCGGTAACACGCTTGTGACTCCTGAGTTGCAGGCGTTCATGGGCAATGGTAGTCGCTTTCCATCAGGCGACCCGTCTGGTCGTTTGCCCCCTACATCATCAAAAAACATCTCAACCAGAAGGTGTTCAAAAATATAATCGTCAATTACAGTGTGTAAACCATAATTTTTTATATCTCTCTATATGGTATTTTCATACTCACTGCTGAGCTCTATTTGGTCTCTGGTAATGAATGGAATTTAGTGTACTGTAACTCAAGTTTTTTTACCACAGACACCAGTCTTTCACAAACAGTGGGCACTGAATTAAACCTACTCGCTTTTGAGAAACGAAAATTTAAAAAAGTATTCTATTTCCACTTACTTATGCATCATCAGGTTGTAGGGTTTCCCAAGACCTTCGAACAACGTGTACTTGTCGAAGTATGTTTGGCGAAATATCTGTCCATCACATTTGACCATAGACTTTGTCCCCTTTCCTGCTATTGTCCTGGATACCAGGAGCAGCAAGGCAAACAATTTTGTATGCATCTGGTTAAGAATTACTGGAATTTTTAAATATATATTTAGTATTTAACGCAGAAATATTTAACAAGATGACCAAATTGTGGTTCTTAAGACATTCTTTCATCGTGGGAAGCCCATGCTTCAGTACATATTGGCCAGCTCAACCAGAATGATACCATGCCCTTACAGGAAATTAGTTTTTAGCAATTCTTTCGCTGGTTTTCACCGAGTGAGTAAATTTCTAAGGAGCCCTCCTTTCTAAGGAGAGGCCTATGTCCAGCTGTGGACTAGTATAGGCTGTTGATGTGATGTGATGATGTGAGTAAATTTATCTGAGGCCCAATTCTTCCCTCTCTCCCCTTATTCTGGGTGGGATGCACACAAAGGGAGCAACGCCCTTGTATATCTCTTGAATTGGCGTTAGTAGTCATTTACCATAAGAAGACCTGTCTCCTCGTTTGCTCGTCTTTACATAAAAAATCTTATTTTCCTGCCAAAACACTAATCAATATATTTTTAATATTTTAAAATACAGCAAGTCCCAGTAGTCATTTATTACAGATGATATCTAAGAGACCGAAGACAATCATTCATCATATGATTATAATTTAAAAGTAACAACAATTTCCATCACTAATAAGGACTTAGGAAAAGGTACACTGTAAGTCTCAGATGGGGCATCAGGACTGAGACTACAGGTAATAACGTGAAGAGGTCGAAGTCACGTGCGCTTATCTCCGTCAACCAACCGCAATAACACACACTAGAGATCTCTTGACTGACGAATTGCAAGCGTTATCTTCTTTTATTTCATTACCCAGCCATTCTCATCCTCCGAGCCTTTCCAAACTGAGGCTGAACAGTCGATTTTTCACGTGGAGTGACTGCCATTAAACCTACACAACTCATGTACCAGGCGATATCGAAGTTCTGTAAAAAGACTGTTGTCGAACTAAATAACCAGTTGTTTCTTTAACCAGTATAACTTGGATTGTATAGACTTTTGTTCCTTAGCAAGTCAAAATATAATACTGAGTACCTGTAGTTATGTAGCCGCCTTTAAGTAATTTTTAACTTTATAACACATATTGTTAAAAAAACAGCCTTCTGCAATTTATTTATAGAGTATTCCAAAGAGGTTTTCTAAAAATAAAAAGATAAAATAATGTACATAAACAACAAATTACCTTTGAACAGAAAGCAAAATTAGTATATTTTTTTCGAATGTTCTTTCGACTTCACTGAATACAACTGGAATGACTGTTCTGTTTTAAAAAATGATTTTTAAAATATTGTTATTATTTATTATCGGATCACTTACAAAGAATGACACATAAAAATCATAACATACTATCATATTAATAAACAAACACGGTTACGATGAAAATCAGAAATACGAAACATAAACAATTATCGTCGGTGAGTGATTCCACTGGAATCATGGGCCGATTCAGTATAAGTTTAACTTTGCCTTTAATCTTTTCAAGAGATTTTTTTCTTTTGTAGTGATACTCACCAGATTCACCAGGATTCAGCCGATGATGGCTGTACTTTTTTCCTGTATCTTTTATCAATTCTGGGTCTTAAGTTTGCATGCCCCGACTTAGGTACGGTAACTTAACCTTTAATGCTGTATTTAATTGTAAAAATGAGATAAATATATATCTATTTGATGAGAACATGTGTGTGTACAACAATACGTAGTCAGAAATACACAGGTCTTAACAACAATTTTTAGAATCAACATGTTCGTTTGTCGCGGGGGACTTTACAAACATACATGAAACGGACACAAAAAACACCTCGGAACAACAATTTGTGGATCACACAAAGTATTGCCCAATGTAGGGATCGATCCCACAACACTCAGAGCAGTAAAAAACGTCGAGGTGGCCGCTTAAACCACTACGCCATTCGTGCAGTCAAATTTCATATAACCATCAAGATAAAAGCGTAGTCCCACCTTAAAGGCCGGTAATATGCTTGTGACTCCTGAGTTGCGGCAACGGTAACCACTTTCCTTCAGATGACCTGTCTTCTTGTTTGACGGCTTGACCCCTACACCTACCATAATAATAATAATACATTAGGTAATATTTAATGCCAGCTAATAAATAAAATAGAAGTGTCTGTTTGTACAATAATAATTTAAAGTAAAGTAATAAAAATACTGTCAAAATAATAAGTTTTTTCATGCTCACACATTTATTTTCACGATAAATATGCCTGAAAACAAGTTTAAATATTGTTTGTCTGTCTGTCTGTTTGTTCGGGTAATCTTCAAAACAGCTAAACTGATTGTGATAATATTTTACTATCAGGTACCAGTCTATATAAGGAGTAATTTAGGCTATTTTTCTTCTCAGCGCAACCCTATAAAATTTTGACCGGTCCGGGAATCGAACCCTCATAGATTGCAGCCGCGTACCGTACCGTACTATACTAATAAGACAGCGCTTTCCAATTACACGCGAACACTAGTAGTATTTTAATAAATATTGTTGTAGTGTGATTAAAACGTAAGACTGTTTTATGAGTTCGCGTTCCAAATGCGCAACCTTCGCAATGTAAAAGTACCTGCTCATAGAAAAACCAAATTCTATAAAATTCAGTCTTAAAACTGTTTGATTTTAGTCACGTATCGTTTAAATAGCGCACACGCTTGATTAAATATATAATACACCTATTTATTTTGGCTCGAAATTGCCGTAGGTACAAGCCTCTTCGTGATTTGTATATTCCAGAAGTTTTTTATATTCAGTACGCCAGAAAAATAGAATAATTTGGAAAAAAATAAAGTTGCAAAAATGTTTTTACTTGGCAACGCTATAAAATAGTGGGAATTAAAAGTTTACCAACCGACGCTGGGCCTTGTTTTTACGTGTGCAAACTCCCTCGGGCCGTCACCACACCGGAGTTTGACTAAAACCACACGGTGTGCCACTCTGCTCCTGTAATAGTAGGGATCCGGAAACTACTGTTACAAAGACATCCGGACCCCTCCTAGCGCCAGCCCACAATGGCGCGGGCACCACCTTCGGGTAAATTCTCTATTTACCTTTTTTGCATCATCAGGAGACGACGTCCGCTTGTGCCGGACATCACCTCCTCGCGGCTGGCCGTTATGGCGGGTCGAGGGGAAAACCCGAACTCGATCCGAGTAGAGATCATCCTCCTGGGCCCTCTCCGCCACCTCCTTCTGCGAGATGACGTCTTCGCAGAAGTATGCGACCGCCACAAAATAACTGTCACTAACGGCTATTGAGCGTATGACGGCCGATAGCGAGAGATCCTCTCCAATGACTGCAATGAGGACCAAACACTGCGACGCCCAAGCAGGGCAAATTACCACCGTATGCTGAGCCGAGTTCTCACTGCAATCGCAGTAATGACAAGTGGAACTTAATTCCCTCCTAGCCACCGAGTGCAGGTACTTCTTATTTGCAGATACTTGGGAGGAAAGGGTCCTGTGCTGCCGCCCTGGCCAATCAACGATGACAAAACGGCAGCCGGGATGACCAACAAGCCGTCGTGGCTCGGGAAGCGGTCTCACGCCACTCGCATACCGCTTCGGGCGGGAGCCCGACAACACACCCGGAACTCAGCCGTCCGCCGATAGACTTCGACAAGCACCTTCACCTCCAAATCCCAAGAGGGAGTTCCGGCCAACGCGTATGCTACCTCCACCGACACGGTGCGGTAACCGCGTATGGTATGGTATGGTATCTAACCATCAATATCTTCTGGGGACACCAGAGGCGCTCCCTATTCTGGGCGGTGAGAGCCGAACCAACGCTGGGCCTATGTCAGATTAAGTTCAACGGTCGCTGTAAGTTCTAGGCAGTAAGACCCCGAAGAGCATAACCAAATCCAGCAGAAAAAAAGAAAAATGTTTATTTGAATTTCGTGCCTTACGCCTTGTTACACTATAAAACTCTCGCCACGCTACTGCTACTTGCGTGGTGATTATCGTGGTGTTTACGATTTACATTAGGGGGTTACCCGCGTTTCATTTCGCCTGTCATTTTAACAGGCTGTCTGTGTCACCTGTCGTTGGTGAATGGTTTTATGTTCGAGCAATGAATATGCATTACTGCATATTTTCTTTCAAGTATCATCATTAAAACTAGTTCCAAATAGACCTCGCAATGATCTACCCGTCCGGGGCCTCGCTATGGCTAAGGTCCCGGGCAAATTTGGCAAAACTGGGAAAATTTGTTCGTTTTGAGAGACACAGACGTGGTTGCTTGAAGTTCTTCATATAACCGTCGGTACTGAACTAGTTAGGGCGTTGGACTTTAATTGGTTCTAGATTCGAACCCCACCTATTGCAGATCGAACGCACTATTTACACAAATATCATCATCATCAACAGCCTTTAATATTCCACTGCTGGACATAGGCCTCTCCTTAGAAAGGAGGTTTACAGGACACAAATATACAGCTTAGTAACCCACGTTACTAGTCTTCTTCTTTAAAAATACTTGGTAAAAACAATAGGATGGTTAAAAACTTACGTGACCAACCATAGACATTTAGCTAAGAAGGAAGAAAGGCAAGAGAGGACTACCAAAGATATTTATTTGCGCATAAATATTTTAATTTTTCAGTACACTTACACACACTTACACTTTCGTTACACAGCAGTTTTACAATTTTTATATTTCTCTGTAAAACAAAATTTCTGTACCTTAGTGTACCGATTTATATTTTATATGAAAGCTTTTACATTATTAAAAAATTTATGGTCCCTTTCATTAATGCTTAATAAAAACCAATAAAAACAGCCTTTGCCTTAGCTTATGTTGCCAATATAAAAAAATTGTTGAATTGCCCCACAAATTATTATGTTCTGTCACTCTGTGTTAAAGTGTCAACGCTAATGCTTTGAGCCGTCAAATAAGTGATATTCATTCAGGTTTACGTTTTACTAATATTTTAATATTAGAAAGATGCCTGCAGGACCGTCTACAATGGACTCGGCACGAGAAAAATCCTTCCAAGACTACAGGAAGAAATTAATGGAACACAAAGAAGTGGAATCTAGGCTCAAAGAAAGTTAGTATTCCTTGGTCATCGAATTGTGCCGAATCATGACAAACTATTTGGTAACAATAGATTAATCTTGTATGTTTTTCAATCTAATCCGTTATTATTCTCTTATAAAGTAATGTTCAAAGATGTTTTTTGTATAATTAAAATAATTTCAAGCTGAATTAAGGTTACTTTTGAGGGAAAAAATCTTAGTACAAACCTATACTTTTAAACAATCAATAAGAACATGCATTTAATAAAATTAAAATTACAGAAACTAGTAAATTATTTCGTAGCTTATATATAACCTGAAATATATATTTGCCGTCTTATGAATCAGTTTGTATGCTTGTTGTATGCATACATGTAATAGCATCATGTAAAAAAGTGATAAAATTGTTGGCAGATGATCACTGCAGAAAGTAATCATCATCAAGTGTCAAATAAAGCATTCTGATTCTGATGGTTATAGCAGATTGTCTAACCAGGAATTGTAAATCTATTTTGGGCGAGAGACCCCTTTTCTAAGATGAACTGATACCTCATAGCCGAATTACTGTAAAAAAACCGTACTCTTTAAAAGTACAACAATGATACTTCCTACCAAAATATTAGTCATTCTTATAACAAGTCGGTAGGTACATGTAACAGAACTAATATCTTCAAAATTATCATTAATCATCAATAAATAAAAACTGTGTTGCTAATTGATAGGGTATTTATTACGATTTTTAGACCTCGTTGGTCCCAAAATCAGTTTTCGTTAATCTCGAATCTTGGGAAACTGTTCGAGTGGTGCCAAGTTCCAACCACTGAACAACTGTTTAATCATATATACCTGAACTTTTACACCACAAACTTACTCCTGCATAGTGACTTTGACACTTCAGCAAGTTTGCTGCTCGTCTATAATATGACAATAAAAATAATCTTATATATAAAATTCTCGTGTCACAATGTTCGTTCCCGTACTCCTCCGAAACGGCTTGACCGATTCTCATGAAATTTTGTGTGCACATCGGGTAGGTCTGAGAATGGGCCAACATCTATTTTTCATACCCCTAAATGGTAAGGGTGACCCATCCCTAACTTTTTTTTTGTTTTGCAATACAACGTTTACCTTGTCAGCTAGTAATTTATATATATTTTTATTATTACAGTGAGAGATAAGTTGAAGGAAGTAACGAAACAATATGATAAGAGTGAGAATGACCTGAAGGCTCTACAAAGTGTTGGTCAAATTGTTGGAGAAGTCCTCAAACAACTAACTGAAGAGAAATGTGAGTATTAATCTAACTTTTTAACCAACTGCAGCAGAAGGAGGTTTATGTTTTTCGAATGTAGTGAAAGAACTCTGGCACACTCTGTAGCTAAAACGGGTTGATGGATTTTGGTTTTTGAGATGTCGTTAGATTTTTCTTAATTCTAAGAGAGGCACTGAGTATATTTTATTTTAATTCTTTTTGCACAAATCACAAAATTGTACCATGGCTGACTTAATGCCACCAGCATTTCCTCCCAGTCAACCTTTGGGTGGTGGGGAGATGTCTGAGATGGAGCACTAGAAATTAAGTTTTGTTTCTGTGTTTTAAAAAGATAATAATCATATACAGACAGATGTACATATATACTGAAATAGACATACATATATACTTGCTTAGTTACATACATACATATATTATTATATTATATTAGATTAAAATATATATATATATATACACATGTGGAGGAACGGGTGTCAATTCCCTCCAACACAAAGGGAGGATCCTCCGACCAGGCGAGGTGGTCATGACTGGCGGGCCGCGGGCCAACGGTTGATGTTGGGAAGTTGTATATATGCTAATCGGCGAGAGAATTCTTCATATCGCGATACAGGATAAGCAGTTCTTATTCAGGAGTTACTCCGTAGTTCGGTGTGTATTCGTTAAATGACGCTGTAGTATGTTTCTGTTTATGGGAGTCGCCACATACACAAATAATATACAAAACTTTAAGGTTAATCTGCTGTCGTGTCCAGAATGCGAGCTCGGATGACGCGATTAAATGAGAGGCGGCTGGCTGCTATCCTGATTTTGAGAGGTAGAGGGTTCAGGCCCCTCCCCGCGTCACTAAAAGGGGGCATTCAATTTGTGACTACACACTTTCAAATTGGGACAATGCACTTGTATCTCTTGGGTTGCATATGTCTATGGGCGGTCCTAGGTTTAGTCTAAGTCAATGATATTTTAAGGAACATACGTTATATACATCTATTAATGCATTTTAGAACAAAATATACACAGCTGTAGTATATTCCTTTATCTTTATTTACCTTTTTACCGTAATTTGTGCACTTTCGGCATACACAGGAAGGCATTTTATTAATTTTTTCGAATTAATTACTACATGTGCCCATTGGTCCTAATTAGGACCCTCACGGTTTGTAAGTTGGTGACGTATCTTTTCTAAATGCATTCTAAATATCAGACATCTCAACTGTATCTTCAAGTAAATGTACATTATGCATTACAACTTTCACAAATTTTTTCAGTCATTGTAAAAGCCACAAATGGGCCCCGTTATGTTGTTGGATGCCGTCGTCAGCTGGACAAACAGAAGCTCAAAGGTGGCACTAGAGTAGCTCTAGACATGACCACGCTGACTATCATGAGGCATTTGCCTAGAGAGGTAATTATCATCACAAATACACTCACGCCTTCATCACTAAAAGGGTAGACAAAGGCGTATTAAGCGCTCATATTTTGCCTACTATTGTTTAGTCCCACTTATGGAATCAATCTATGCAAATAAATAAAAATGACTGTTTGTAATGTTAAAATAATAGGTTTTTTCATGCTCATATGGTTATTTGCACAATAACAATGCCTAAAAAACTGTCTGTCTGTTCGTTTCCGGTAATCTTTGAAACGGTTAGACCGATTTTGATGATATACTACTACCAGGTAGCTGTCTATATAAGGAGTAACTTAGGCTATTTTTCCTCTCAGAAAAACCCTAAACATTTTAGCCTGGTCCAGAATCAAAGCCGAGGCCTCATGGACTACAGTAACCATACTACATCCACTAAAGTAGCGCATACCAGCTAGTCAGACATATGATAGATAAATTACACCAAGACAGAAGTAATGATCATGCTCATCACACGATATTTGGGTTGTGTGAGAATCGAACTAGCAACCTCTGACTAAGCAGTCAAGATCACTAACCACTAAACTGACAGACCCGCTGATGGGTCTGTCAGTTTAGGACAAGGACAGTTCAAATTATCTAAACATATTAAAATTGATTGCCCTTACTAACTAACTGATTTTTCAACCCAGAGTTTAAACCGCTGAGACTACAAATTTTAGCAGATCATTCTTTTTAAGTTAAGAGCACCCACTAAGAAAGGGTTTTTGGAAATTTTATCCCTGAGTCGGTAAAATAAGGGATGAAGGGTTGCAAGAAAGTTTATTTTCAAAGTTAGAACACGAAATAAAACTTCAATCATTCGATTGAAGCCACGGGAAATAGCTAGTGTGGTAAAAATATGGAATTAAATAAACAGAGAAAATTTAATGAGCCATGATTGAAATTGAACCATTCAGCGATTTCTACTATGTATAAAATTCACATCTCAATTTTCAGGTGGACCCTCTAGTGTACAACATGAGTCATGAGGACCCTGGCGATGTCACATATTCAGCTATCGGAGGACTCCAAGAGCAAATCAGACAGCTCAGAGAGGTACGGTAATGTTTTTACGTTTTTCTGGATGGATAGATATACAGACAGATAGACAATAGTGTCTAGTAGAGAATTTAAACTGCAATGAAGTCACTAAAAATATAGACAAAAATTTATGTTACTGTAATTAAATGGTTCATAAAGAGGTATTAAAACATTTAACTTTTGTTTTTGTTAAAATAAATTAATTTAAATTGTTTCACATCAACAGCCTTTAATAGTCCACTGCTGGACATAAGCCTCTCCTTAGAAAGGAGGTTCTGGCCTACTATACCACACTGGCCAGACGGGTTGGTATAGGGTTTGTGTCAAGTTTTCCTTCTCTCTGCAGTGCTGTTGTCCTGCGTAGTTTTTTTCCCTTAGTCGGCTCTTACGACACCCACGGGATGAATAGGGGTGGTGACACTCTGTATTCTTAATCCGTCACCACACGTTGTTTACAAAACTATAAATAACATAGTAACTATAGTATTTTTTAATTTCTATTTCCGCTGTGTGTTGTCACCTATCATTATAAGAGCCATGCTTTGGCAGAGACACTTTTGAGCTGCTGACACACCTGCGACTCTTGATCTGCAGATGTCAATGAGCAAGGAATATACAATTATGTATCATGCCTAGACCCGTCTCTTTCTAAATGATTTAACTTCATAAGAGGAAATGGGACAAATAAAGTCAGATGTTTCAACAACGGACTCTCAACATTGATCTGTAAAATGTCTTCATTTTAATGTTTCAGGTGATTGAACTGCCATTGATGAACCCAGAACTATTTGTTCGAGTTGGTATCACACCACCGAAGGGATGCTTACTCTACGGACCACCTGGTACAGGAAAGACTCTGCTGGCTAGGGCAGTGGCATCCCAGCTAGATGCTAACTTCTTGAAGGTATATAAATACATTCTATGATGTTAAACTTCATGTATATGAGCCAGGTCGTGGTACACCCTGGCCTGGGTCTAAATCTATCTAAATCTAAATTTTGTGAATCCTCACTAGACAAAGATACCCCCTCTTCTTAGTTAAAAGCAGCATCAACTCCTAAGAATAAGGATAAGACTAATAAAATATAAAAGTCAGTAATGAATATCTCTGTTAAAAGTACAGTGACTTTAAGACATCATCATCAAACAACAGCCTATAACAGTGCACTGGTAGACATGGCCTCTCCTTAGAAAGGAAGTTTTGGCCTACTATACCACGTTGGCATGACGGGTTGGTTTCAAGTTTTCCTTCTCTTTGCAGTGTTGTTGTCCTGCGTAGTTTGCTCTCTCAGTCGACTCTTACGACACCCACGGGATAAATAGGGGTGGTGACACTCCTTATACTTAATCCATCACCACATCAATACACAATCATTTAGTTCAGCCGTTTATATATTAGGGGTAAAAGTATGAAATTGCCGTTTTGTACAGAAAAATTGAAACTCGATTTAATCAAAATATTTACCCTCATTATCTATACATCGCTGACATCTAAACCGAAGTTCATTTATGCTTTCACGATAGAACTCTGGGGATCTAGATTCGACAGACTGTGTAAAAGCATTACGTACTGCTTCCTGAGAAGAAACTTTTTTATCACGTAGAAAATTTACCAAATCACGGCAGTAATGATAGTCCGTTGGAGCAAGGTCTGGCGAGTACGGAGAATGACGTATGGTTTCTGACTGCAGCTCCTGTAGAGTTACAACGGTTTCTCGTGCAGTGTGAGCGTTATAATATAATATATCTCACACATCTCACACACGGCCGTCTGATCCCAAACTAGGCAGAGCCTGTACTATGGTAACCAGACCGCTGATAAACATACTTATATATTTTTAAATACATACATATTATAGATAAATTACACCCAGACACAGAACAAATGACCGTGCTCGTCACACAATATTTGTCCTGAGTGGGAATCGAACCCACGACCTCCGGCTTAGCAGTCAGGGTCACTAACCACTAGACCAACAGGCCCGTCTGATATCATGGAGCAATAATGGTGAACATCGATTAACGAGTCGGGGCTGTTTCGCTACCAGTTTCGCCATCATTGTTCGCAGTTCGGCGCAGAATCTGCTGTTATTCGAATGCGTTTAAACCAAAAGCGCACGGTGCGTTCATTAGCAGTCTCCTCTCCAAACGCAGCGTTGATATTGCGAACCGTTTCTGCCCTGTTAATTCCGCGTCCAAACTCGTATTCAAAAAATTTTCGTCTAAGCTGAATAAAAAATTAAATTAAAGGTCGAAAATCGAATGTTCACATTTTTTAAAGAAGAACCTCATACGTATCATGTGGAAAACACACGAAAATCTCACACCATGAATGGTTTTATGTCAATTCAAAGTATCTATTACTATACAACGGCTATTTCATACTTTAACCCCTATTATTACATAGCATAGAGGTCAAACATATAAATATCATCAACACCTTTTAATACTCCACTGCTGGACATAGGCATCTCGTTAGAAAGGAGGTTTTGGTCTACTATACCATGCTGGCCAGACGGGTTGGTATAGGGTTTGTGTCAAGTTTTCCTTTATGAGGTGCTGGTGTAATGCGTAGTTTGCTTCCTTGGTCGGCTCTTACGACACCCACGGGATGAATTGGGGTAGTGACATTCCGTATTCTTAATCCGTCTTTTACTTCTGCTACTTTGACATACATATATATGACATATATAACATTAGTTAAGATAAAATTCTAAGTATCTACTGTTATTATTTCTTCTATTTTCATAGGTCGTGTCCTCAGCCATTGTAGACAAGTATATCGGAGAATCAGCTCGTCTTATCCGTGAGATGTTCAACTACGCTCGGGACCATCAACCTTGCATCATTTTCATGGATGAAATTGATGCTATTGGTAAGTCTTTTCAATTTAACATGGATGGACATAGACATCTGGACTTACACAGTAGCGTATGGTATGAATTCCACATAATTATAAAGTAAAACATAGATCAGTCATCATAGTATATCATCATCATAGATCCAGTTGTGATAGTGTCATCTAGAACTTTACAAACAACCTTAGTTAAAAAAAACCGGTAAGGTACGAGTCGAACTCGTTCTCTGAGGGTTCCGTACCTACCCAGAGTTTACGTGGATTTTCGCAAAAATTTGTAAGTACGAAATTTTCTCTTCATTTTTAACTTTTTTATATTTTTTTTATTTTTTACCTTTTGAGGTATGGAACCCTAAAAATGTTATTACATTTGTTGTCAAATATATAACAAAGTATCAAATGATATAAAAGGATTACCAAATCGTATATATACTCACCAATTGTAACTTGATTGCACGGATGACGTAGTGGTTTAAGCAGTCGCCACGCCGCCTACTACGCCGAGTGTTGTGGCTTCAAACCCCACATGGGACGACAAATGGACAATGTGATCCACAAATTGTTGTTCTTAGTCTGGATGTTCTTTGTGTCCGTATCTATGTTTGTAAAGTCCCCCGCGACACAGGAAATATATCCTGTCCTGTAATGCGTCTTTTTAAAAAAAATATTAAGAAAATAATTCATTGAACATTCTTTTTACTCCACTTGGACTAGGAGTAGGAAACTTTCCTAACTGTATAAATTCCTTCTTCAGGCGGACGTCGATTCTCGGAGGGCACATCGGCTGACAGAGAGATCCAGAGAACTTTGATGGAACTGCTCAACCAGATGGACGGCTTTGATTCCCTGGGACAAGTCAAGATGATTATGGCGACCAACAGGCCCGACACGCTGGACCCTGCCTTACTGAGACCTGGAAGGCTGGATAGGAAGATTGAGATTCCGTTGCCAAATGAACAGGCCAGGTGAGAAACAATTTTATATCCCAGGTCAAATCTAGTATATAGTACCTTTAAGAATATTGAGGGTATACATTTTTTTTCCTTGCGGAACTCCCCTCGGATACCACTCACCAGTTGGTGATTATATCGGACTCGAACCGCACGCCGTCTCTAGGTTCCAGTAGCCGGGGAACAATTATACCCTAGAAAGGAAAGCCCTTATACCCCGATGTACCTCGGGCCATCTACGGCTTATAGATGACCTCTCCTGTGTGGAAACCCGAATGTTCCCTTCCTACCCCCGAAGGGCGTGCGCGCTTCGTAGCGCGTAACACCACCAACCACCTCGGCCTGCTTCTGCTGGAGTGACAGATGGCCTCACCTGTCACCCTCAGGCCTGCGCTTGTGGAGGACGGAGGTCGCTCTGTTGATATATTGAGGGTATCCTTAGTCTTTTCTATAGCCCTGATAACATATATGTAAAATTAATTGATATGATCAGTTAAGTGGTCACTAGTTAGGTGTGTAACAAACAAATTCACAGTCACTATTATAGTATTAGCTAAGATTTTGATCTGTGCTTAATAATTTGGTACAAGTGTAGACGGATTAATAACACGGAGTGTTACCACGCCTATTCATCCCGTGGGTATCGTAACATCCGATTAATGGAGCAAACTACGCAGTACAACAGCACTGCAAAGAGAAGGAAAACTTGACATAAATTCTTATATTACGTGTGGAAACGTGGGGTCTTGTGTCGGACTCGGACCGACTAAAACCACACGGTGTGCCACTCTGCGCCTGTAACAGGAGGGATCCGGGAACAGCTGTTGTTAAGACATCCGGACCAATCCTAGCGCCTGCCCGCAATTGTGCGGGCACCACCTTCGGGTACATTCTTGGCAGAGAGTTGGGTTCAAGTGGAGATGATCCTCCCGGGCCCTCTCCGCCGCCTCCTTTGCGAGATTACGTCTTCGCAGAAAGATGCGACCGCGATGAAACAACTGTCAATACCTGCCATGGAGCGTATGCCGGCCGGTATGAGAGATCCTCTCCAATGACTGCTATGAGGACCCGACGCTGCGACGCCCAAGCCCTGCGAATTGCCATCGTGCTAACGACGGTGCGATAACCGCATACGGCTCTAAACACCAATTTCCTCTGAGGGAGCTATTGACCAGACAACCTCCACCACCACCAAAGTCGTTCAACGGCAGACGCAGCGCCGACCAGCTTTGGAGAAAGCTGTCGAATTTGCTCGTCGAAGAGCCATCTTCCGTCGAGAATCAAGCCCAGATGCTTCATCTGGGTCTGAACCGATACAAAGACCGAGTTGACCATTATTGAGGCGCCAGGCGGAGAACCACGACGGGACCCATGACATAAGAGGGCCTCCGTCTTATCCAGGGACACCGCCAACAGCACACACAGCCACGGCTCACCGCCTCTTCGGTCACGGCCCTCATACGCACAGCGCCTCCGTATATATTACACTTTATTATTATTATTATGTGGGGATTGAACCCACGATTCCGTGCAGTTATCACCCTTACTTCAATTTTTCCATTACAGATTGGAAATTCTGAAGATCCACGCAGCTCCAATAGCGAAGCACGGCGAGATGGACTACGAGGCGGTTGTGAAGCTCTCCGACACATTCAACGGAGCTGATCTCAGGAATGTGTGCACCGAGGCTGGACTCTTCGCTATACGGGCCGAGAGAGAATATATTATCCAGGTATATACAAAATAAGCCGAAAGCAAAACAATGGAGACAATAGGGTAGATGACTGTCAAGTCAAATCAGCTACTTTTTTTTAAACGTCAAAACGCTAGACGCGGTACATTTTTGTATGAAATACTATTTCGTGACGTCATACCTAGCTATTGTCAAATCATTTATATTTAATGTTGATATCAAGATATTAAATCAATAAAGACATTAAATTGATAATGGAGGCCAATTCAGGTTTTACTTTGAGATGTTACATTTAACGATGCAGGCGAAATAATTTATTTTAAACACAGGAATCTACCCTATTCTTTTTTAAATAATTTATAAAGATTCAATCTATACAATTAAATAAAATTGATGTGTATGTTTGTAATGTCAAAATAATAGATTTTTTTCATACTCACGTGGTTATTTGCACGATACCTATGCCTAAAAACCAGTTTAAATATTTTTGTGTCTGTCTGTTTGTTCCGGGTAATCTTCAAAACGGCTACACCGATTCTGATGATATTTTACTACCAGGTAGCTGTTTATATTAGGAGTAACTTAAGCTAATTTTCCTCAGAAAAACCCTATAAAAGTCCAAGAATCATAACGTGGTCTTATGCACTGCAGTTATATTGTATATACATAAATGATAAATGATGATACATACATATCGGCCCATCCGTTTTGGAGTTATGATGTCACAGACTTCAAAGTTTAAAAATAAACTTTTATTTTGTATTTTCAGGAGGATCTAATGAAAGCTGTGCGCAAAGTAGCCGATAACAAGAAGCTGGAGAGCAAACTCGACTACAAACCCGTTTAATTATCATACTTAACAATAATGTGTATTTTTCTTTTCAATATATTTACTAATAAATAGTCTTACTTTCTGTATTTTTACTTGATACATCTCATTCACGACAGTTCGATCCCAGACTAGGCAGAGACTGTACAATGGTAACCAGACTGCTGATAAACTTCTAAATATGACGCTAATATTATAAAGGCGAATGTTTGTGTGTGTGTTTGTATGTTTGTTACTTCTTCGCGATCTAACGGCTGGACCAAATTTCATATAATTTAATATGGTGGTAGCTGACACTTTGGATAACACATAGGCCCGAAAACATGTAGTGTTTACGAGGGCAAATGATAAACCGCGCGTAACACCGCGGGGCGCAGCTAGTTCGGTATTCATAAATTACAACCAGCTACAGAGAAAATGATCTCACACATCTCTTAATTATTGGTCCTAGGTGGGAATCGAACCCTCTAGCTTAGTGGTCAAGGTCACTAGCCACCAGACCAATAGGCCTGTCTGTCTGAATATTATACAGCACTAGTTACCTTGCATAGTTCTTACTGATATGAGGCATTCTGACTGAATGGTGTAATAACTAAAAATATACTTACACACGGTCAATACTTGGATTAATGTCTTCTTGTACAAAGCCAGGTTGTGCCTCAGACAGCCTACGGCAGGGAGGACTCCACAAGCTGGAGTTCCTCCCGACTGCCGAGGTAGGCCGCTGCGGGGTTTAGTAGGTAGACCGGGAATCCCAAACGCCCTCTGTTTCCCCAACAGAGACTATGGTGCTAAAAACGTTTCCCGAAGTACAAACGAGCTGATAAGATCATCTGTATCTCATAGAGTCACTAGAGCGTTGCCACCAAACCCAGACAGACAAATGAAGACCAACGAAATAATTGGTTATCACCAGTTTCCTGTGACGCCGTGGTATTTTTATTTTACATCTTCATGCACTTATGTACATCGGCGGACTTAATGCCCTGGGCATTCTCTACCAGCCAACCTTTAGCTGGTGTAGAAATCTTGTAGGGTATGTGCACCGAGGTTACAATTGTAATCACTTATAATAAATATATATTATTTATATAAAACGGCAAAATTTACAAATATTATACAATTGCTCATATAAATTATAATATAATACCAATAATTATATTGGTACATATATATACAGAAATAAATATATATATAATATAAATAAATACATATTCTTTATGTTCGTACACTGTGAATACTTGAATTTAAGGAGATGTACTGTTGGTTAAGGTACTTCCGCCATCTCGTCGAGAAGGTAATTTATGTAAATTCTTTTTAAATGGTATCACGTCGTCGACACATTTGTGCTGAGAGGCATGGTTCTCCCAAATTTACAATTTAGGAAATAAAATAAAAAATTTACAACAAAAACGTGGTCACATATATTACTGTTGACAATTTATTTACAATTAATTTCATTCAAAACAAACAAACACTTCAGAAATAAGCATAGAGATATTAGAATAGAGCAAGCCGGAAGCGTGATGTCAGGTGCGAGAGAGAAAGCTGCCAAGAGGCCCCCTCTTGCTGTCTCTCTCCAATCCATAAAGAGCACTGCACTGCGCATGCTCACCTGCTTAGAAAAAGACAACAAGGGGGCCTCTCGGCAGCTTTCTCTCTCGTACCTGGCATCACTGCAGAGTACAGAGCTAGTTGGAGATAGCTTGCTCTATTCTTATGTCTCAATGAAATAAGTGACGTAGTCATATTACTGCAAAAATTATAACATAAAAAAAACATGTCCAACCAAATCAAAGAATAGTAGAATTCCAGTATCCAAATCCTGGTGCCATCATCAAACCAATGCTAATAAGCTCTATCTTTGACTCTGAAACTGAAGGGGTATTAGCACACCAGTTTCGGCTTTTAGCCACAGAAAAGTTGCACCTTCTGGCTGATGAAGATGATGGAGCCAAGCCATTGAGCAACTCCAAGCTGCCAAATTACAGTGGCATAATAATCCAGTAATTACAATGATAGCAACAATTAATCCTTACCTTTAGTCGGTCTGATGATGTAGAGACAAGTGGATAGGGGACTTTTTTACCCGACTGGAGGGTTTTGTTTTACGAGTGCATGTTTTGGCAAGCACTATAGCGTAAACGACCAGAGAATTTTGATGTTTGGTGTCGTTTGATTCGTCTTAATTGTGAGTGACACTGGGTGTATGGAAATTATAAAAATTAAAATTGCCGATTTGTAAATTTTAAGTATTTGTCGCTGTCGCTTTTTTTTCATTACTTTTTAATTTGGTTGGCTTATTAATGCGTTCTCTTGTTAGTGTTACTAATCTTTAATTTATTTAAATCTTAAGACATAGTTATTATGATACTTTGAGTTTCTTAACTACCTATAGGCATAATTTTTTTACAATTATGTACATAGAATTTTCAATATTGTCTAGGATATATATATTTTTTTATTTTAACCGACTTTAAAAATTAGAAAAATCTCAATTGGATTTCTTTTTGTTTTCTTCACCATTTGTGAACTGTTTTCAATAATAATTTGAAATTGAATTGTTTGTATTTATATAAGGCCACTATTTCAATTTGATGAAAGTAATTCATCCAATATCAAGGCGGAAATAGTCTGGAGTTTTATAAATTTAATTAATATATTCATTTTACAATTTAAACATTCATCAATTATCTTAAAAAGTAGGTAATGAGAGACACGGTAATGTAAATATTATTAACACTTATGCACTAAGATAAAATAAATACATATTATAGATAAATTACATCCAGGCACAGATCAAATGAACATATTCATCACACAATATTTGCCCTGGGTAGTACGAACCGAGGACCTTAACTTAACTTGGAAGCCAGGTTTGCTAAACACTAGACCAACAGGTCTGTGATTAATTCTTGTGACCAATATTGATAAGTACTTAGTAAAAAAAATATTTAAACTATTTAGTATACAAAATAGTCCAAAGACAGAACCTATTTAATGCCTCTGAACGTATAAAAATAGGACTTTAGACAAGGTACTATCTGACATCATTATGGTACAAAATACTCCTTGTGGCGTCATATACAAGGACCGTGTTTGTTTAATAAATAGTACATTAATTAATAAAGTCAGGTAAAGTGCCATTTTTTCTTGCTTTAGCCACATTCTCATAATAACAAGAAAAATCAACATAAGCTTTGATTCTTTTATTCCTATCGAATTGTTTCGCCACCGGATCTGTGTCCGAACTAGACTCCATAGAACGGTTCGTGTCTATATTGGAATCATTCGTTTCGATCTCATTCGTTCCTGAAGAGTAAATCTCTGAATCGATCTCATTCAGTAAGGTATTCGATTTCGATTGAACGATGGGATTGAATCGAACCGAAGCATTTTTGGTCACACTCTGGCTAGGAGGTTCGTTGTCATCATTCGTTGGTAAAAAGTTAAAATTACGTATCAACAACGACATATGCGTGTTAGGTTTTGGTGATAAGTTATTTTTAACGCAATAGGATACAAATTCTTCTTCGATTTCTTCTAGAACAAATTGACTGACTAATTTGAAATTACTATGTTTTCTGAAATTTTCTACAATAATCTGTGAGAGCATTTTGTTTGTTTGTTCGTAGCTACCTTTCGCTTCCTGGATCCGCTTGTATACCCCAGAGCTGACTAGGACGAGGAATCTGAAAGCAATACAAAAATATTACTTTTGTATACATGCCGACTAAGGGAGCAAACTACGCAGGACAACAGCACTGCAGAGAGAAGGAAAACTTGACACGAACCGTTTTTTTTTTTAACGTGTGGAAATCCCCTCGGACCGTCACCCCTCCGGGGTTTGCGGCGGGGTGGTGTGTCGGACTCGGACCGACTAAAACCACACGGTGTGCCACTCTGCGCCACACTCAGGGCGGCATGAGGCTGTGACAGGCGGGCCTCCGCCGCCCGGTTCGCCGGCGGCGGATCGGGTCCGAGTGGAGGTCGTCCTCCCGGGCCCTCTCCGCCGCCACCTTCCGCAAGATTACTACCTCGCAGAAGGTTGCGACCGCGGTAAAACAACTGTCGCTACCGGCCATGGAGCGTACTACGGCCGGTAGCGAGAGATCCACTCCGATGACTGCAGTGAGGGCCCGGCGCTGCGCCGCCCATGCGGGGCAGACCGCCAGCGTGTGCTGGGCCGAGTCCTCACTGCAGTCGCAGTGGTGGCAGGCGGGACTCAGTTCCCTCCTAGCGACCGAGTGCAGGTACTTTCCGAAGCAACCGTGCCCGGAAAGCACCTGCGTCAGCCGGAAGGAAAGGGTCCCGTGCTGCCGCCCTGCCCACTCGGCGATGACCGGCTGGAGAGCCTCCACGGCGGCGAAGCCAGCGCGTGGAGTCTCTCCAGCTTCGACTGCAGCCTGCCGGCGTCAGCCAATACTTTGGCCGATGCTACGGGACAGCTGACCCACACGGCGGTAAGCCCCCCTGGACCGGGGCGGATGGTGCCGACCCTGACGTTGTCCGCGCTGCACCCCGTCTTCTCCCGGATTACAGCGCGGACATCTTCGGCCGTCACAGAGTCGTCCAGGCCCGAGATGCGCACCTCCGCGCACTTGGTAGGCCTGGCGATCTTGACACCATCTGTGGTCGCGAATAAACCCCGCAGCCTCTCAGCGAAAGTGTCCGCCGTCTTGGCGCCTTCAGCCCCTGAGAACTCGAGCTCCCGTTTGGGCGAGGCGCATCTTGACCCCCACCGTTCCAAAATCGTTGGCGAGGCTGTCCCGGGCCTTTTTAAAAACGGCCGCGTAGAACAGCCCGCCGTCATCCGCCTCCGGGGACACGGTCACCACTACAGCCGCGGTTTTGGGCGGCTGCAGCTTCCGCGGCCTCTTTGCAGAGGCCGTTGCCACCGGTGGCGAAGGCTGGGCTTGGGCTGCTTTTTGGGCAGCCCTTCTGACCCGCCTTCGGGACTTCTTGGAGCCCCTCGCCTCCTGCCAACCCTCGTTGGAGGGTGCGGAGGGGCCCGGCAGGGGTGTCGGAGTGGGGAGCGGAGGGAATGCCACTCCGCTCCTCAGCGCCGTTTTAGGCCCCGTCTTGGCCGGCACTTTGACCTGCGCCTTGGCCGGCGCCTGGGCCGGTGCCTTCGCCCCCCTCCTCGGCTTTTGGGGAGCCGATGGAGTAGGGGCAGACGCCGCCGCCGCGTAAGAAACGCGGCCTCCCACCACGGGGAGCGCGGTCGGAGCGGCGGCCTTAGGCCGCTGTGCCGACGCGAGCGGGGGGCGCACAATCGGCGCAGGGGGCAGTCTCGCCTCCAGGCCAGCCAGGCGTCCGTCCAGCATATTCCCAACTGCGATGAGGATTTCACGTAGTTGGGAGTCAAATGCCCCTGAGTTGGCAGTAGGGGCAGGCTGGGACGCGGACGGGGCTTCCCGCTCGGGGATGTTCGCCTGGAAGCGGGCGAACTGAGCGCTCAGCTCGTTCACCCGCTCCGTCAGCCTCTCGTTGGCCAACTGCAGGCGAGACACATCGCCCACTAGGCCCTCACAAACGAGCCCTTAAGGTTAACGGACTTGGTGGCCACCTTGTGGATGACGGCCACCGCCGCTTTCGCCCTCTCCTGCACGGACCCGGGAGCCTGGGGGGCATTTCCCCCCACCGGCTCCCGAACCTTGAGCAGGAGATCCGCGATCTCCTCCTCCGCTGCGGCCTCGCCGTCCACTCGTACGTTTCTGTACGACTCCGCGTTTGAGAACGCGGAGCCTGACGGGGTCGAGACCGAGGCCGAGGCCGGTTTGCGTGCCCTCCCTCGGCGGCTGCTTGCCACCTTTGGTGGCATCATCTCCTGGGACGTGTCGGTTTCCTCGTCCCTGGAGCGTCCTCGTTTCCGACTGTCGCTTCGCTCCGCCTCCATGGCCTCCACGCCATCCGACGAAACGGCGGATCCGGAGCGCAGCCGATCTGATGCTCTTCGGCTCCCAGAGACCAGCGTCAGACTGACTTCTGGGAGCCCCACCGAGATAGGCGTTCCCGACGCCACCTCACCCTCAGTGGACGACCCATCCACTCCACTGTTCCTCCTCTTCGTCTCCTTGTCCGTTAGGCTTGCCTTTGTCTGTTGTGTTTTTTTTTTCCGATCGTTTTCTTTTTGTTCAAATTAAGATTTTCCATAATAATCCCACGAGTGGGGGAGAACTAAAGGTCCACCCGGGCAGAGATCCCCCATTACCCGGGCAAGCGTAAGTTTTTAACCCAACCGAGGGGTCCGCAGGTACCTCGGCTTGGAGTGCGCTCGAGACTGAACTTCCCATCAGCCATGCATCCCCTGGCCACGCACCAGAACACGGGATTCGGGGATTTTTTTAGAGAGGTTATCTTCCTCGCGGTCCGGGCGGTTAAGCCAAGACCCTCGCCCCCGATCAGAGCCGCGAGACTTAACCACAGCGCTCTTCTCGGGATTACGATATGCCGACGGTTGACAGGGAGACTACGTCCCCCTGCCTGCTCGGTGGCAGTGTCAGTACACGCCGAGCCCGTCCTCCTTTCTCCACCGCTGTCAGCGGAGAAACTGTGGCCCCTACAGGGCCCCGCCATCCGGTTTTTTACCGAGGTTTCCTCCTCCATGCTCCGAAGAGCGAAGAGCCAGCAGGGCAACCGGCAGACACGCCCACCCTGCTGGACCAGGCCTTGCCCGAGAGCCGATGAACGGCTACCTCTTCTGCTAGAATATTAGCCGCTGGCGATAATCCTCTCCTCCAAGAGGACAAGGAGGAAACAGTACCATCGCCAGCGTTTCCAGGGTGCACCACGGGGAGGTTTTCTAGCCTAGCACCCCACGAACCCTATACCAACCCGTCTGGCCAGCGTGGTATAGTAGGCCAAAACCTCCTTTCTAAGGAGAGGCCTATGTCCAGCAGTGGACTAGTCAAGGCTGTTGATGGTGATACATGGATTGTATTGACTGCCTCGGTGCTAAGGTCTCGGGTTCGATTCCCGGGTCGGACCGAAGATAATTTTTCAATAGTGGTTTAGACAATAAAAACTTTTATTTGTATCACTGCGTAATGCTTTTATTGCCTAATACGAAATTCATTTAATTTATTCATAATGACTTGTTGAAGAACTCATCATATTTTTGCACATATGTATGTAGATTATATATGGGCGTTTAAAAAAAAAGGAAATTATTCCTTTTTCTCGGAACCAAGCTCAAAAGTTATATATGATACCCTCACACTAGCTTGAGCACATACCTGCAAGATTCATCCAACATGATGGGTCCGTGTATTTCTGGTGCAGCGATGACAGGTTCCGAGCTGGCAGCGCTGATGTTCGGGAACGCTTTGTACAGGCCCTTCACTAGATAATTGCCCAAGCATCGTGTGCCAGTCTGATTGCCAAGATATTGTGCTGTAAAATTGTATGAAGATTATTTAAGGGGGTTATTTCTCTATTAATAATTTTAAATAATATTTGATTATTATTTGAAACTCGATGAAACGATAATGCGTCACGATAAAGAAACAAACACATAAATATATAGGATTAGGTCGTTCGAATCGAATTTGAAAAAACGCTGCTTTAGTGGGTTTGATTACCAAAATTTGATAGGATTTTACTGTTTTTTTTTGATGTTTCACTTCTGCCGTGTGTAAATTGCACACACACACACACACACACACACACACACACACACACACACACACACACACACACACACACACACACACACACACACACTTTTTTATATGAGAGCTAGTTTTAAAAGGTTATTAAAAAATCAGTAAACTAATTATGGATCTTGTTACATTCATAGTGGCAGATTTACTTTCCAGCGTTAAGTAAGTAGTAGAAAAGATATACAAGATTGTACTTTTTCGGCTTCGAAAGCTAATGGAGTTTATGAGTAAAGATTACTTAATAGTCACATAATGATAATAATTTTCGGTGGATTTTAATCAATCAGTCATAAAATACATTCAGAAATGTTTTTGATGCATTTATATAACTTTGAGAAATGCTTCAAGTTGATTAAATATGTCTTAATAAGCGTAAGCTATGATGATTGAATAATTCTATTATTTCTAATATCGTAGTGAGATCCTAGTCGAACCCCATACCTTAAAAGCCCACAAAATGCGTCGAGTGAGATAGGGACTAACCGTTCCTGAGCTTGTTGACGTCGAGGCCGAGCTGCGACAGGCGCAGCAGCTCGTCCTCGTTGTGCAGGCTGTGGTCCACGGTGAGCTGCACGACGCGCAGCACGCTGTTGTCGTCGGTGCGGCCGAGCAGCGCGCGCGTGTCGCCCACGTGCGCCACGAACAGCGCCCCCCCCCCACCCCCCGCGCGCACCAGCGCCAGCACCACGCCCGCGCCCCCCGACAGCGCCGTGTCGATCTCCTTCAGCCGCGCCAGGATCGCGTGACTCGGACTCGCCTGAATTTCATACATCGGTGTAGAAAGGCTTTGGTGATCAGTGAACGTTCCATGACTGAGATGATGATGATAGGGTAATACGTGATTATGTCGGGGCACCAGGGACTTCCTTTCTAGGATATACCTGGTTCCCCGGCTATTAGTACCCGAGACGGCGTGCGGTTTTAGTCGGTTCGAGTCCGACATGCCACGGTGGTATCCGAGGGGATTTCAGCACGGAAAAAAAAAAAGGGTAATACGTGATTCAATTAGACCCTATAACCAGGGAATAGAGTCCACTACTAAAAATACTATACACTATAGTAGTACCACTTAATTATATATAAGTGATTCATACCTGTGTTTCATTTATTGTTTGAAGCTGGTATTGTAGACTAGTCCTTTCAGCGATCAACCCATCGTAGTTCTCTATATAAGCTTTCTCCACAGATATGAATGCATTTCTGCAATAAATTACAGAAAAATAATAATTATTACCACATTTTACTCAGAATTTTACTGCCAAAAAATCTTTTATCTGTAGGTCATTGTAGGCCACAGGTATATGCAAATAAACCCAGGACAACCATTTTTTTTAAATATTAATAGTATTTTTAATGAACTAAGTATCTTGCTTCAGTTTTATCTAAAGATAGATAGGTACTCTTTATTGCACACTATGGATAGAAAACATACAATGCAATATAAACATAAAATAAAAAAAACAGTGGGACAATGGGTGGCCTTATCACATTCTGCTTTTCACCATGAGGGTTACCGGAGCTCCAAACTACCTCTACTCTTAATTAGTGGCGCTTAGTAGCCAAGTGGTACCATCAGGTAAAAAAAGAATACACACCTCAATCTCTCCCTAATTTCCTCATCAGTATTGGTTGAAGATGGTGGTGGAAAAAGGATCTCTGCAGCCATCCTCTGCATGATAAATCTAGCCGCATCCATTCCATTATGTGGCTCAAATACTCCATAGAGTGACCTTAAAAAAAATATTTTTATTATGACCATAAGTTGTTTATTTGCATAAGATTTGGATTTCATTAAATAAATCACAAGTATGTAGCACACAGGTTTTTTTGTTATGAAAAATTCTTGGAACACTTATCTGAATTTATATAATGTGGTACCTTGCTCATCCCGCAAGAACATTACGTTTCGGGATAACAATAAGCCTATGTGCTCTTCCAGGCTATAATCTATCCCTGTGCCAATTTTCATCCAGATCCCTTCAGCCGTTTTAGTGTGACAACCACAAACAAACAACCACAAACATCCATACAAACTTTCAGCTTTATATTCCATATTAGTGAGATTATGTGAGAAAAGGAATTTTTTACATAACTTTTACTTGTGAATTTTCTAAATATTTAAATAGTTATGTGGGATGGAGACAGAAAATATGAAACTAAAAATCTGTCTAACCATTCTTAAGTTATAAATGGTTAATGATGATAATGGATATTATAATAACAATTTGCTAAGCATAGAAAAAAGCGATGGACAGAAGCTAGTATTTAATATAACAGGAATTAAAATACCTAAGAGCTTAAAACTCATTTAAAAACCACAGTATATAAGGTGTACCAAAATAGAAAAAGAGGGGAAGTTATAAACAAATAACAGAATAGCCTATTCCTGAAAAACTTCTTCCAAGAGAACGTAGCCATCAAAAATATCAGTCAAAACGATGTTTGACAAAGGTATTGTATTATTTTATCTGCTTTCTATATATTTAGCTTTTTTTTTATAATTCAAGTCAGATCATATAACCCGACCCGAGTCGCTCGTTGCTCCCGGTGCAAAGGTGCCCATGATACTGGCAGCATTGGCTCGCTAAATTGCAACGGATCCTTTGCAGCAAAAACGAACCGGAGCGGGAGTCACCACTTTTATCCCAAATTCAGCGAGCAATCTCCGCAATTAAATCTTTAGCTATTTAACTATTCTTGTACATATTCCTGTGAAAATTAGATTGTATTACTTACAAATTGTCCTCAGTCTGGCAGTAAAAACAGAGATAATCATCTGTAGTGTTCGTATTTCCTCCACCTAACCTCGAGAAATACGAAGCGACACACGTATTCTTGCATTTCGGTAAGTCATCCGTCCATGGCCGGGCTGTCATCCTTGCTAACGATCATAAATAATGAATAAATAAGATATTTTGTGTCACAGATGGAGGAAATTTTTCCTGGATTATTTATTTTTGTAACTTGACACTTTAACGAAGTGACAGTTAAATGACAGTGGGCAATGGGGATGCCACATGACACCTGATATATCATCAAGAAACATAAAAATTGGTAACCAACCGGTTCGGATTGCTACCGATGATCTTCGTTTTTTACAATACATTGAGTTAATAGTAATTTATTATATGATGTGTAATCAGTATGGTGTTACAATTGGTGGATATAAGATTATCAACTTGCGGTACGTCGATAACACTACCTTGTTCACGAGTACCACTGGCCTAATGGAAGAATTACTTCTCAAAATGTAGAGCTTAAGTCTTACGTTTAGGTTGAAGATAAACCGATCTAAGAACAAAATAATGACATGGACCGTATCAACGATAACTAACCCGAAATGATGGAAGAAAAGGCTGGGAATATAGTGGACGGGGTACCGCACCAACGTGTCTATACTCCGAAAGCTTGGCGTCACACAACGTCTGTCAACCACATTACAATCGTGAATACTGTAGTGTCTGCAGTACTTTGGCTATGTTTCTACTAAACGGAATAGTATCTTCATAGAACGACTGGTAGTGAAGGGAAAGAAAGAAAGAAAGAAAGAAAGAAAATTTATTGGCACATGCAAAATTCCGTACAAAAAGTGCCAATAGGTCTGCAGCTCAGCATACTGTTGGATGGCCACAGGTGCCTTCCAACGCTGGTTTTCAGCTGCAGCCCATAAGACTGGGTGTTGTCTGCAGGAAGCCATTCAAGTGTGTGATTGTGTGCGTGTATATATATATATATATATGTTGGTGCGACGAAAGGTGGAGAGAACCAGATTCCGCGGCAGTGCATCTATGCGCTGGACCGACCAAGTGAAATCCGCAATGGGAAACCACGTGTCTGACTGTATCCGACAGTCTGCCAACAGATAGAGATGGCGGGAAATTGTGTAAAGATCTTTATCCTCCTTCACCACCTACGTGGACAACTTAACGGGACCACGACCGCTCTGCCATGAGCGACACGACAGAACAGAAGAAGGTCCAAAAAGCAAGCGTATGTTGGTCTATGCCTATCAATACGTAGTATGCTTTTAGACGAAAAATAGCTTAGTCTGTTAAGAGACCAGAAAGGAAAATAAATAGGGCGTCGCTATTTGGGTTTTTTTTTACCTTTGCACCCGTACATTTGTTATTACAAAAAAAAACTAAATATTGACTGGAATTTATCTGGCATTGTGGGTCTTACTAACTTATCTAGACCACTAGGACCAGCATAGTCTCAGATCTCTATCTGATCTATTCACTGATTGGCTATTACTATATACATACATCATCGCAGAGAGCAAAGAGAGATCACATCACATCAACAGCCTTTAATAATCCACTGCTAGATATAGGCCTCTCCTTAGAAAGGAGGAGGAGCAAAGAGAGATGAAAGACCAAAATTAGGCCGAAACAGTTTTCTTTCTCTGTCTAATTTCTGTAAACGTTTTACTATTCCATTGCCACTAAAAAGTAAAATATTTTCAACATAATAACTAAACATTTTAAATGTATAATTGTGGATAGAATTTTTAGTGAAAGAGTTACTATAACACCGACGTTATTGAGTTACCGTGCACATTTTTTTTTTCGAAGCAAAACTTCAGACTCGAGTCAAGCCCTACTCGGCACATCGCTAGATAAAGTTAGTGAAGATAGAAAGAGCGAGAGTTACGTTTCGTAGATTACTGGAGGGGGCAAGAGAGAGAGGTGCAAGCACACATTTTCTTTCTCTCATAGCCAAGAAGTTTTACTTCAGTCGTGTGGTCTAAGCACACTCGTTTAATTACTAATAAATTTCACCTATCATAAAATAAGGTTCAGGATAGTTTTATTTTATTTGTTGCATGCTTATCTATTTGACGTGTTATCGGCACGGCGGTAAATAAAATGTAATCGAAGTTTTAAACCACTATTTCCTTTCCCATAACGACCGCAATAATTTATGCAATGTGTTCTTACAACAACAAGCATAAATTAGTAATTTTAAATACTTGAAATTCCTAACCATGCTTAAAAGAGCTAATAAAATTCGAAATATTTGAATTATTCACATATTTTATACGTACTAGCTTTTGCTTGCGGCTTCGGCAGCGTGTACGTCGGTTATCGCGGTAAATAATGGCTGATGTCCTACCTCAAGAATGAAACTAGCTTCATCCCAAATTTCATCGAGATCATTTTAGCAGTTTAAGTGTGAAGACGTAACAGACAGACGACACACTTTCGCATTGTATTGTAAATACGTACATAATTATATATATAGAAAACACTAACTCCAAAACAAATATTTGCAGATCATAAAAACATTTACACATACAAACAAACAACCCGGGATTCGAACCCGAGACCTCAGCATAGCCGCTACCACTGCACCACAGAGGCAGTCAAATTAAATTATTCAATTTAATTTATTAAGAAAAGATTTCGTAGGAGAGCCATGCGTTGGCACATACTTATATATTATGTGTCACTTCGACCGCAAAGATACCACGGCCTCTCAGAAAACCAGTTTTCAGCACGTTTTAAGCCTATTTTTAACCGAGTGAGAGAGGTTACAGCCCAAATCCCCCCTCTTACTTCTGGGGAGGGGACACAAGCCTCTAGGGTAGATTTCCATGGGCGGCGGTAGTTACTTACCATCAGGTGATCCGTCTGCTCGTTTATCCAACTACAACATTAAAAAAAACTGCGCTGGAGTTGGCACTGCGATGAAGCGCGGACGCACGAGCGTCGCGCCGCTTCTACGTTTCCTTCAGGAATAAATGGCAGTGCACTCACACACTAGAGTCGCGTCACAGGCGAGGTGGAGACGGGGCGGCGGCGCGGAGGTGGTGCTGAGGTCGACCGGTGCCGCGACTCCAGCGCCATTTTGTTTCGTGCGTAGACGTGTTTACCCTTCAAAGATGCGTGACGATTTTGAAACCAATTTAAATTGTAAGAATGAATCCTTGTATATGATCAAACACGATCTCATTTTGTTGAAAAAATTGGAATGTATGAAGGAAGCATAGTCAAGGCGCGGGCCGCCTTGACTCTACATAAACGCCATGCCTCGACTTCCCAGTGGGCGACGCGCCTTAGAAGATTCTAATATTTACCGTATCGATGCCTTGAGGTTGAGGAAGTCACCTATTTCGCGTAAAATTAAATGTCCCTTACGCTTTTCTAGCCCCAATCAGAGGCAAATGTATACCAATTAAGAACTTTTGCCGTTATGGTACTAAGTTGAGTGTACCTATTTAAAATGTTTGGCCTTTTCTTTCAATCGTATCTAGTTTTTGTACGAATATCGTCGATTTAAAATGTTACCATTGAGAAACTATCATACTTTTTTTAAGACTGCTTATAAAAACATTTTTAACATATGTAACATTTAAAGAATTTTCAAGGCTGTATAAGGTATATAAAATAGTGATGTAGCATTTATAATTTTGAGGTTTTCCTATTCATAAACAGTATGATTCATATTCTATGCAATGTTTAAAGAATATAGAAACATTAGTTAATGAAATTTCTAGAACATACAAAATATGACTTAACAAATTAATAAACTTTTACAGCAATGAGTAACAATTAATTATACCTAACATCCTAGCCATTTTTGATTATTATTTTACATTAATTATACCTATTCATCCCGTGGGTGTCGTAAGAGCCAACTAGGGGGGAAAACTACGCAGAACAACAGCACTGCAGAGAGAAGGAAAACTTGACACAAACCTCATACCAACCCGTCTGGCCAGAGTGGTATAGGTAGTAGGCCAAAACCTCCTTTCAAAGGAACGGCTTATGTCCAGCAGTGGCTTAAAGGCTGCTGATGTGATGATGATGATCCTAGCCGACCTTACATTAGCTAATAATCGGTAGCAGCAACTTCTACTTACTACTGGTGCTGGCCATAAGCTTGTTTGCTACTTTAATAGTATAAGAATGGAAACCAATGCTGTTTGGATTCTGATAAAGAGTTGTCAGAACTCCAAGGTTGTCAGATACAAGGTATCAAGACATTCTAAGAAATTATGTCAAACTTTGTTGAAAAACCAAGTGATTTAAATTAGTTGTAACAGATTTGTGCAAATAAAAGGCCATTTTCTTTGAACAAAGTTTTAATGTTCTTTCCACATACCAAAACTCTATCTTTTACAGTTTTTTGCAATTTTTATGTTTTTTTTTACAATGTTAGCTCTGGTAACCTAAAGAGCTATGTGTCTAAGTTTTCATTTATAATCTATGACTTTGAAAAAGCAAACCTTTAGTCGAGACATGAATTAACAACTTTTGAAAATATTTACTTTAAAAATATTATAAGGTGCTCATAACACCTTTTTTAATATACATATAATATACTCCTTATGATTTTATGGTGTGCTGTCAAATATAATGTTACAATTGTAACCTATCTTGCTAATATCTCAACAATAAGTTTGTACATCTCTTATTTAATTAAGTCCTATATAAGAGAATGAACATGGTCACACCTCATTATCCTGTTATGATGTATATAAAATTAAAAGTGTATTAGTGCATGGCATAAGAATTAAGCAGTTTGAATTAAGGCAGTTTGGTGGTTTCCAAAGTCACATGTAAAAAAATAAAGTGCCCTGTACCAATACAACACATTCACAAAATTACACATTTAATAAATGTAGTAAAGATTATCAAATAACATTTATTTAGGAACACAATTTAACATAAAATGAGAACTATAGAGATGCCGTTGTGCCTTTGGAAACCCATTTAACTCGGGTGAGCAAAATTAAAAACTACACCATTGTGTCAACCGACCACACTTTAATCGGATTTCTTATCTGCAGCTTTGGTTTCTGGTTCAGGTTTTTTCTCTTCTTTCTTTTCAGGTTTTTTCTCCTCTTTCTTTTCAGGTTTTTCTTCCTTTACATCTCCTTTCTCCTTTGCTTCTCCTTTTTCCTTTACATCTCCTTTCTCCTTTACATCTACTTTCTCCTTTTCCTTTTCTTTCTCGTTTGTAATGACCTCCTTCGCCTCTTGCTTAGATGCCTCATCGAAATTGCCGACTAGGTTAGGCACCTCATCGTCCTCGTCAAGTGGTTTCGGCGCAGCCACGCTAGAGGCCAGCCTCTTCAACTGGTTCAAACCTTCCGGACCGAGCTGGCTCAGTATACCGGGCAGCATTTCAGCGATTTGCTTGTTTTCTCCATGTCCGGTGATAGCAAAAGTGTTCGCCGTGAGAGATGCCTGTGCTTTGGGATTGTTGAAATGTATAACTGTGCCGTCATCCTTTATCATATTAACTTCCTCAATGCCAGGAATAGTATTTACTGACAATTTTTTAAGGGAAGATTGCAATTTCTTGTCATCTGTGGCCGCGGTAACGTGAACAACCTTTTTCTTGCGTCTCGGTGTGCCCTTACCGCCGATGCGTACCTGTGACTGCAATTTCTTTAGCTTTTCGGTGTTCATTGTGTTGTTTTAATACACGACGTCCGTTTCTCGAAACACGCCGCTGTTTTTAGCGTAACTATTAATTCAATACACACAATGATCACACAAGTTTTCCATGTAACTTGATCGTACGCACGTGTTTTGAACACCGGTTAGTTACAAAGGGAAAATGGTGGATTTGAGACAAGTTATTTCTGATTTCCGAGTTCTGTATGTTGGCAGCACTGTATGTTTTTCCTTTTCTCCAAAGTATTCACAAACTAGTCGGTAAACGTCAAAACTTTTACAGAATTTGTATTATAATACTTTTTATGTAAATTTTACATAAAATTGTACTTATATATATAGGTAAAAAAATGTAATCATATGATTCTAATTAAATTTCTAAATTTATTTACTACCATTGCTTTAAACAAAGTTCAAAGAATACAGAAACGAAACGTAATAGTTTATAATGATACCATATTAGAATTTTATTAGTGGTATTTGAAGTAATGGTTTTTTTAATACTGCTAACCGCCATCTTGTGTGAAAGTTTTTAAACTTCTAGGTGTTCCTTAACTAATATCATTGCTATTGTGATAGATGGCGCGAAAATGAAATATTACGACAAAATGTTATTTTTCAAAAGTTTTCATTAAAAAAATCCGGGGTTTAAAATTCTAAATCTATTAATATTCAATACTTTATTGCTTCCATAATGTAAATACATAGGTGATAACAAGGCGGCAACAAATTTGGACCCTGTCGGGGCCCATTTTGTTTAAGAGAGAGTAAGATAACACAAGCATATAAACTGTAGAATGTTTTGTTTGTAATTAATATGATAGGACACAATCATGGTAACTATGTGTGTCATGTAATTTTATTTTATCAATTATAATCATTATTAATATATTTGTTTAGAATTTTAATATTGATTTAATAGTGTATAAAAGAACTAAAATATTGTCCGTCATTTATTCAATTCAGTTATTATTTTAATTATTTGATCTATTAATTATAACTATTTGAGTAGTCATGAATATATTATATTATTAGAAGAAAAGAGGACAGCATTATTTAATCCTTTTAAATTTTTCATTTAGTATAATCTGATTATAACAATAATAGATTTATGCCAAATACTCTTTTGCGCTGTAAAAACGCTTGCTAATTAGAAGGAGCTTTAATTTATTAACAAAAGTATTAAATTCTCTCTCTCGTTTTTAATGTCAATTGGTAATTTATTATAAACTTTTATAGAAATGACCAATTTACCACGAGAATGCATTATTAGTCAAGAAGTAGTAGATTTAATTTAATCTGTTCTTGTGTCTAAAAGAAAAGTTTGTTTTTTTTGTCTGCCCGTTTACCATACAGTTCCGAGTATTTTCGGACAAATTTACTTCTTTCCAATATATATATTATTATATATACTGGGTAATGGTTATAGTTCCTCTACAACGGTATTGTTTTCTTTACTTGTTTTATATGAAGTTTTATTAGTTCGGGATTTAGTATAATTATGTACATATTTAAAAATGCACTATTAAAATAGAAATAAAGTCTTCGCATTATGGGTAGCATTTCTGGAAGTCTAGCAGTATGTTGAATGAATATTTGTTTGTTTTAGAAATCAAAGTTTCTTACAACACTAAATAGATAGCGTAGTGTGTGCCGAAATTTAAAATCTTTTTTGTCATTCTGAACAAATTGCTCATTATTTATTCTAATTTTTAAACGATCACATTTTTCATCGTGCATTGGCAATCATCATTTTAAAAGAAAAAAAATAACCAATCATAATTAAAATTTGTTTTGAAGTCAGAGTTTCTTACAATTTTAAATAGATGGCGTAGTGTAGGCTAAAATTTAAAATCTTTTTTGTCATCTATATCTGAACAAATTGTTTATTTTTTATTGAAATTTATAAACGATCATAGTAATCATAGGTACGTAATAAACATGGAAATTGAAATAAAAATTTGAAACATAATGAAATCGGGCGACAAAAGGCAAATCATTGAATAGTATTAATGATGATTTCTAAATTTAAAAAAATCTCAAATCAAGTCAGTGATTTCAAACAGCTCTCAGTTAGCTTCTAGTAGATATTTCGGCTCCGACGACACCCACGGGATGAATAGGAGTGGTGACACTTTGTAAATCCGTCAACATACGGACAAAGAGTGTATTCATGTTGATTTTATATTCCGTAACATATAAAAAAAACTTAATTACATGGGTACAGCCTTTACTTACACTTTTATACCGTTCAAACTTGCAACTTGCATGCCATGACTTGTTCTATTCATGAATTTATTTAATATGGCAATGCTGTAGATTGGAATCCAATGTTCCAATAAGAATGAAAAGCTGCCAATTCCAGATCACTGGTTTCTTTGAGTCGGTTCCGAGTTCTGCGGTTGTGGAGTAATGACTTAGGGATTAATCATTTGTTGATGCGAATTTAGATGCTATACAAGGCCGTCTTAGGTCATGTCGGGGTCATTGGGGACACAAAAATTGGTGCCCCATTGCATTGGAAACTTAAAATTAGGGAAACTTATTACGTACAAATAGAGATTTTGCACAAAAAAAATCTTGAGAGACAATTCCTTTTCGGGTTAAATCTTATGTTATACTCGTATCTTCGAAATCATTTTTAATGACTTCAATTACACTTCAAGGGTACCCCACATCTCTGATGAGAAACCGGAGAGACAGAATGCTGTAGCTCGAAGAGACCAGGTTCAACTACGCCTGTGACTGTCTTGTGATTGGGAAAGCTGCTGGGCATGATCATAAAATGTACACACGGCCATCATCAGATGAATCCATCCATGATGACATTCCAAACTAGACAGAGCCTGTACAATGGTAACTAGACATAGATGATAAACACACTTCAAATACGCACATATCATAGATAAATTACTCCCAGATACAGAACAATCAATCGTGCTCAACCCAAAATTATTTGCCCTGAGTGGGAATAAAACCCACGATATCTGGCTTAATAGTCAGGACTAACCACACGATCAACAGGCGCGGCAGAATATTAAGTGACGTTATACAAATATATTAAAATTATAATAATATCAGTAACGTATGATGCACTCATAACAAATTCCATTTGAAATTCTTTCACACACCTACAAATTATCGTTCAACAATTTATTATTATAAGATTAATGTCCATCAATAAATACTTGCATATTTACTCAGAAAATATTTGATCCACAGAGAGCTTTCAACAACAAAAATAAACGCAACTCATCAACATAGAGCTTTATTGGACCGATAAATATTTATCTACATTTACTAAATGGACTCCAAAATGGTGGACTATAAAGCTGTCATCGAGTGATCTGTTCCCGCCATATTTTCAAATTTCGGAGTTGCTAGTTTCGAATACTTTTTTTAAAATTATTTCGTTGAATGTCACCAAGGAGTTTTCTTTCTGGTTTGTTTGATGTGTATCAATATATTCTTTTTACACATTATAGGTAATAATAATTAATTTTATTCCTTAAACAGAAATATGATTTGTCCTAAAATACATTATTTTCAAAGCTTTATGTGTTTGATGATTTTATTGATATATAGATAACATAGTCAAAAACGATGATCACGATTATTTCTTCTATGTCTAGGTATAATTTATGTAAAATACCTATGCATGTATTCAGAAATAAGTATATTTAATACTTTCTAAAAACAGACATATTTTACATAAATAATACATACATATTTTATGTATATAAATTAATTAGTATGTTTATCACTAGTCTGGTTACCATAGTGCAGGTTGTGCCTAGTTTGGGATCAGACGGCTGTATGTTTACTGAGTGAAAATAGGTATTATTATTATATTATGACAAACCTAATGAAAGTATTTATGAATACACACTGAATATGTGTATGTGGGTATATACTTATCATGTTTTTTTAATAAATTAAAACACATAGACTTGAAATATTAAGTAGCCAAGTTCTCATCTAGTTAGGTTATATTCTGAGGAAAAAATATTAATTGTATCTGTAAGATTTTTTGATTTGTATTTTTTTGTGCTGGCAATTCACGCGTCTCCTCATCTATCATCACTTGCTAAGTCAATGAGAAAGCATGTAGGTATGTGGTAACGTTTTGCTAAAATGTATCCGAATGTGTTCGCACTTATCTGTTGCGATGACAGATGTACATGTAAAAACAAAACTGTTATCAAATGATTTTTTTAAATGAAACATTTACTTGCAGAGAAATAGTTTTATAGTAAGATATAAGGGTCTTTAATAAGCTTATAAAATAAGCCTCTGGTATACTCACTCCCTCAGTGAAAAGCAACAATTACATTACTTAACACCGGTTTTATATGAGGCCTTGGAAGCACTCGTGTCTAGCTAGCGATATCTTATAGTGGAGTAATCGAATCAGTTCCCTGTTATTAAATGTCAAAATTAGGGGTTCAATACGATCTTTTATTTATGAAAGAACAGTAGTTTGATGTCACAGTTTTATTAATATTTAATATGTTTACAATTTGTATACTGTAACCATTATAAATGCAGAATTAAGTTTGTCTGTTTCTTACGCTTTGTACTTTGGTGGGTCATTTCCCTAGAGATAGACAAAACAACTTAACTTCAGGGGTAGACAAACGCGCGTAATCCAGTGTGTTGTCTCTGGAGTGTGTTTGGACTTCTCAAAAAATTCTTAAGGTAACCATAGATGACTGTCGAACAGCTTATTTTAACCATAGAGAAATCTCCTGACATTTTTTTGACGTGTTACACTTCTTAACTCAACTGTACCTAACTTAGTAATAAACTAATGCATCTATATTTAGTTCCCGTAAAGCGTTTATCGCTTTTTTATAATCATACTTTAGAGTAAGAACGATTTGTTGGAATGCCTAGTATACTTTAAAACACAAGCTTTTAAAATATTTGTGAAATATTTAGAAAACATTATTCTCAAAGCCGTCAACAGTTAATTTCGGGTGTATAGAAAGAAGCTCCTGATTCTCTAATCT